GTCACGAGAGGAAATCCCCGCCAGCCGAACCCCTAAGAGAAACCCCTACAGCTACCCCTATTCCACAAAAAAGGAACCCCACTCCCACCCCTTTTATTAGCTAAAAGCGCATGAAGATCGCAGCGGGCTGATAAGAAAGCGAAAAAAAAACCTTTGCGAGTAAGGAAACCGAATTGAGCACTTGAATGCCCCCAACAAAATTCGAAATAAGGGGGGATATTCCTTGAGGGTTGGGTAAAAGAAACTCCTTGACGAGGTAATCTCCATCGAACGATCTATCGATTAACCCAAAAAGCAAAACAGACAACTCAGCGAGTTCCAGCGGCGACAATTTATTCATCAAACCAAACCGAAGATTCTTTTGTATCTGCTCTACGAACTCTATAAATAATTGAATTCTCACACCCGGCAAACATCGGAACCAAAATGCATACAAAATATTTATAAACCTTTTTTTGCTGGCGGAGAATACCCGAAAGAATTCTCTTTTGTTTCCCAATTTCATGTTTGCATTTCGTCATCCATTGTTTTGAGTAATTTGCAATCTTTCGGATTCGCATAAAAGTGGGTGAGTAAAAAATCGGTCGGTATTTATAGGACCCTTTAGCGCATTGGATAGCGCGTTGGACTTCTAATCCAAAGGTGGCGGGTTCGATTCCCGCAAGGGTTGCATACTAAGAGATATATTTATTTGCTCTAACTTTTTTCTGACCTTAAGACTGCAAGACTTTAGCAATGTAAACTGATAATCTAATGTAACAAAAATTATTGATATTTTTAACATGAACTTATATTTGGTGGAGCTGCTAAAGATTTATGTTTTGGGCAAGAAACCTTTGATGGATTCTCCATCTGGCTGTGCAGCCCACTTTTCAACCTCATTAAGCTGAGCAAATATTTCCCTTTGTGGGTAGAATTTGTTTTGGAAAAATGTAATTTTCAATTAAAAGCAAACTGACAAACGGCAAATAAATTGGCGCCCTCTTCAAAACTATTTGCCCAGTGCAAACACCGAAAATAGGTATCTGAAAGATACATTCAGACATTCAACTAGAAAGGGAGAATCTCGAATCTCGGATGCCGCAAGCCGAAACGCAAATAAGGCGGAAATTCATGAATCGCGCAGTTCGAGCGTAAATTGCAACAGCTGTCAAGTATCTGTGAGATACATCGCGTACCCAACTAGCTGATAAACAGCCTATTAAAAGTGTTTACATGACCAGGGCAAATATTGACACAATGATGCAGCTACCCGCCGGTAGCCGGTTGCCCATAATTCTCCACGGATTGCTCATGGCGGGGTTGCTTTATCCGCGGAGATTCCCGGCCCCGGCAATTTGTTGTCGCTTGTCAAATGATCAGCGCACATGCAAATTATCCGCACACCAAGGCAACTCGACTGCCATTCCGGCGGCGGTCCGCCATTTTGTTTCGCCGGGCCTCGCCTTCGAAAAGTGCAATCGGCGCGGTTCGAGGAACCCCAACCTAGACCCCAAGTCAGCCAAGTCAGGCGATGATCTTCTCGCGTCTCGCGTTTTAAAAATAAATTCCCCATTTGCAAGCCCGTAATTTGCCGACAGTCTACGGCACAGCCCCCAAATGCTATTGTGCACTATAATTTACTTTTCATCGACCTCTGTCTGAGTGCCTCAGTGACTGGGTGACTGAGTGGGGCATTTGCATGTTGGTAATCTTCATTTAAATGATTTCCATGGGCTAAACTTTGCCCTTGCGAACTGCAAGTTTCTTGGGTGGTTCAAGAAAGCTGTTTGTGATTTTCTGAGAATTCTAAGTGCTGTCAACTGTAGCAAACTGAAATGAATATATAATAATAATTAACAAATAAATATTTCCCCTCTCCTTCTCAGAAATATATAAAATAATTTGTTTTCGTTCTGTGAGTACTTGCTCAACTATCCAAATGCGAAACAAGTTGAATAACACTCAGCTACGCACAAAGTGCTTCCCGTTCTGTTCTCATGCAAGACCCCTACAGATCTGGAGCTACCCCTTTGTAACCCTTCCTCGGATCTTTTCTGCTTCACTTTAAATACAAAATAATGTCGCCCACTGTGCACAGCTAAGCAAGTTCCTGTTCCCCAGCTCGAAACTAACAATTTTCGCCACATGAAATAGCAGAGGCAACTCGAAAAAAAGGAACCCCTAACGAGCTCTGAAATTATTTTTAGAGCAGTGCCGCAAAAAGTGGCAAATAATGCAAATATCTAAGCCTGCAAGTGGCTCGGGGAACGCCTCGAAAGCGAAAGAACTTGCCTCAGAGTAAAAGTAAAAATATCAAGCATGCGCCATGTGGGACGACAGGCTGGAATAAAAAAAGGACAAAGAACGAGCCGAATGAAGGCAGCTGCAAAAGGAGCGCAGACAAAAGCGCACAGGGATAATGGTGATGATGATGGAGTAACTGCAATTAGGCATAATAAACAAAAAGTTACAGTGAGGGGAGTGAGTTTCAGGATCCGAGGAAACTACATAAACTCAGACTTAATTGCTGGTTTTTCAACCGAACGAACCCCGAGTCCGAACTTTTCATGTTGCGACTTCCTTTTTTATATTTCTCTTTTTTTGCGCACTTGAATCGAGTCCTTTATAGGGGTTAGTCCTGTTCCAGAATCACGGCTCGAAAATGGCTACACACGGCGATCCTTAATAGCAACCCCTTGCCAGGCACCCAAATCGAATCGGACCGAAAAATAGAGCAACTATCCGAGCTGCAAAATGGTCGACGTCTATTTTTTACGGGGGGAGGAAAAGCAGCGAGTCCCAGTTCCAACAATTTGTATCTAATAAACTGCCATATGCAAGCCACTGGCTTATTAGGCCCGAAATGTTTGATTGAGTTCAACCAGCCGGCGATATGAGGGTGCCCAGAGCTACATTTCCCCGGTGGTGGTGGTTCTGATTCTTGCGACTCTGCCACTGTTGCACTTCCAAGTCGATTATGTTGATTTTTTAACCGTTCCTCATTCAGCTCTTTATTCGACGGCCGCCCGAGTGTTGCCAGGGGGTGTGGGGAAATTTTTATTAAATATTGATATCATACGAAGTCAGCGACATGTAAAAGATACATCAGATAATCTGACCTAATTGAACGGATAGCAGGGCGAAAAGAAGAATAATAAATTGATGAGGGTGTGTTATTAATGAGAACTTAAATAATTTTTAGGATAGGTGGAAAAACTTTATATAAAATTCTCACTTGCTTAAAATGTTGGTATTTAAAGAGCGAACATTACAATTTTAAGTATGGCTTTTATTCTTGATATAACTGCCAAACTGCACAATCCCCAGACGACTAAAAAAAATCACCGCATACAAAGTGCCCGGGAAAAAAGGAACTAATAATAAACAGCAGTGGAGAGCACTTGAAGTGACAACAAAAGCCAAATATTTACATTAACCAATGTACGTTAACCAGCAGCGCGAAGTGGAGGACTCCGCGAAGGACTCTCCACCGCAGGACTGGCCGCGAATTCGATTTCTCAGAGGGGAACAAGAATAAACTTCTCTCACCCGCAAATCTTTGGCTGATTTTTATTTATTTGTATGCGGAGCTCGAGCACTTGAGTGGGATGCAGGATGGAAAGCCTGGATTCAGGATACAGGATACGGAATAAGCGAGGGCAGGCCGCAAGGACTCTGAGCAAATAAACAATTAAAATGTCACAACGATTGCCGGAGTACCCGTGTCAGGAAATCAAAAAACCCAACCAAATAAAAAGCGAGCGAAACCACAAAATGGAAAGTAGAAATCGGTCGGTAAACGCTTCCCTTATTTGAAAGGACTGCATATTGTGTTTTATTCAAAAGCGCATTTCGCAGGGCAGGAAGGTGGGGAATTAAGGAGCAACCACGTGGCGTTTCCAGGGCGCAGATCCTTGTTCACTGAGGCGAAGATTGACGGCGAGGGCGAGAGTCCTGCGAGTCCTGTGACTCCTGCCAAGGCGTTGGCCCAACCCAGCGGCACAAATCCCAATTAAAAATAAAGAAAGCCCGCGTCAGCCAAGCAAAAGTTAAACAGGCCAAAAACATCAAGTTAAGTCAAGCTTCTGCACTTAAAAAAAAAAAAAAAAAAAAAAAAAAAAAAAAAAAAAAAAAAAAATTAAATATATTTTTTTTTTTATGAAAGAGTTAATTAATAAGTGTTATATATTGTTTTTTCTTATGGTATAGGACCCTCCACCCTCATTTCGGTCTATTTTTTTTTTGTTCACGCTGGGCGTCTGTGACATTAACAATTGATAGACGACCGACGACGACAACTTAACATTTGACAGATTGTCGCGCTCAGTTGGCAGCTTCTAAGGACACTTTCCATTTCATTTCACACTCACACACGTCTGATCCTTTGACACCGCTTGGGGCAACTCGCTCGCCTCGAGTGGCCCCGTTTTCCACGTTCTCCCCTGGTTCCTCAGCTTTCCCAAACCCCTTTGTTGTGGGTCCGTGTTCGCCAGTGGGCCAAGTGAAAAGTGGTAAGTGGCAAGTGGAAAACCAGTCGAGTGGCCGGCTTAGCGGCTAGTTGGCATTTACCAGGCGGCGACTTAAATATTTTAGTTCTTCTCGTCGCCACTTCGAGTCCCTAGGGGTTAATGCCTTCTAGTAGAGGTGAGAATAAGGGAAAAGGACTTTCTCGGATAAGATATAGATATATAACACGCAGAAATAGCTCTGTAGTAAAGTTTCCTCAAGATGAAGTACCCGCTACTGTATTTTAATAATGAGTCACCAAAAGATCGATACATTATGTTTTGAAACTCGTTATTGGAAATAATTTTTATTCCACAGATTTGATTTCAGTTCGGGGATACAAACAAATACAAACATGTGCTGCAAATTACGCCCAATAAAAAACAACACCAATAAATCTCTACCAAATTAGTATCCAATTAGAAAGCCCCCAAAAATCGTTAATTTATTTGAACCTCACGCAAACAACGATTAAGATGCATAGATGGAAATCAAACACAGAGCAAACTTACCGATGAGGGGGCAAAATGAAGCCAATGCTTTTCCGCACGCTTTATTTGCCAGGATCCAAGCTCCAAATGTGTACAAACAGCAATTAATATCCCTTTTTTGATGTCTTGAGCTTGAGTTAATATTGAGATAAATTTTCTTTGGGGAAATTAAATTTTCCTGTTTCTTATTTTTTTTTTTGAGCTCACTTCAAAGAGTGTTTTTATTTTTGTAGCTTTTTGTGTTATACTAATCGGCTGCAGGTCAAATAGCAGTTTGTTTTAGGTATTATATCCTCCACGCACACACAAGCACTCACGGAAAGGACGAACGGTGAAATTTTGCGACCGCGCTTACAAGACGTCAATTTCGGAGTGTAAATATTTGACTTATGCGTCAAAGTAAATTAAGGCGAAAAACAAAAACGCAACAACAAAGTTGTGATGTCCTTTGGGCGACATACATAAAAATATGGCGACGGCGAAAGCAACGGTAAATTTGATCAATAAGAGAGCGTGTTCCTCTGCCTCTCTTTCACACCCACATGGAAATGGCATTATGCCGACGGCAAAGTCAAAAAAGGCAGCAACAACATTGAAGACATTGCCACCCGACGAGCTCTCTCGCTCTCGCTCAACTGACAGCTGAAAATCGGGAGAGCCGCAAACGTCATTATCATGTAGTACGTCCCACTCGCACCTTTTTGGGGGTGGGGGGCGAGAGAGAGAAAGAAAGAAAAGGGGGTGTGAGTGCGAGCGAGTGTGCGTGTGCTATTAACGCCATCATGCTCATCATCTGCCTCTTCTTTCTCCCTCCCTCTCTCTCTTTCTCTTCATCCTGATTCTGCAGCTGCTGACTGTCCTTTTACTAAGCGCCTTGCCCCTACATAACCTCACTCCACTCCATCTGGTGTCCGTAACCCCGCGCGCTCCTCATGGGTGTGTACATATTTGCACTGCAATTTGGCATCGTCGCGGGCTGCTGCTCTTGTGATTTGCCTCTTTTTGCGCTCTCATTTACACAGGTGAATACAGTGGACGCTAGAGGAAATGAAGGTCCTTCATTCAAAGATGTTGTTTTTAAGTGTCGCTAGTTATACGGCTAACAAAAAATTTAAGGAAAATACATCTCCTATAGGTTTGAAAGTTTAATTGCACCATTAAAAAAATATAGCATACCTTTTCGGGATATGCACCAACGAAACCATGATATTCATTGTTTTTTTATTTTAATGTTTTAAATGTTTGTTGTGCTTATTAAAAGCTAGTAGAGATACTATCATGCAAAGACTACTTTTTGTATTGAAAATTTCAAAGTGTTTTAAGTAGTTTATCCTTCTAACCGTTCTAGGTGTTTACAAGCGCCTACTGTATTTTCTTTTCAATAGTAGTTTTCGTTTATTCCCTTTTTATAGGGTGCCCCCTCTCACGCTCTTTCGGTCTCGCTTTCCCGCTGGGCCATTATCGAAATCGGAGGGCAAAGGCAAAAAATAAGAGAATTACAACGAAATGCCCCGTGGAATCGTAGTTTTGTGCAGTTTCCAACGCGGTCTTGTGAAATTGCTCCGCATCTGAATTTTCACCCGATTCCATGACAACCGAGAGCACAAATACTCACATGTGATGCCTTTGTTTCGCTGTAATGGAGATGTTGAAAGAGAGAGGGAGAAAGAGGGCAGGGAGAGAAAGGAAAAGGTGAAACGATTGGGCACCCTGGGAGATTTTTTAATCAAATAATTACAGTAATTAGATGCAAGGCAAATGTCAAAAGCCTGAATGAAATTCCCATGCGTTACGACAACATGATGAGAACTCACAATTCGCCAGAGATCTCATGTTTCTTCACTTTGAAAATCCTACTGAAAAGGTCCTGATTCTCTTCGGAAACTTTTTGTCCATTCTTTAAAACCAATAGGCTACTGATTGATTTCTATGCGAACTTTTGGAAAACACAGCTTTCTAAAATAAATATAAAACAGTACAAGAACAATTTAATACCATACTAATTTTTTATTAGATCCCTGGCTATATAGAAATACCGCATTACTAGATTCTTTTTTACAAAGTCTTCTGTATACTTCTAATAAATTACGCTGACAACTGACAGGATTCCTTAGGCAAAAGATTCCATTTAATAATGACAACTTTTCCATGAGACTCAAGAAATCAACTTTTTGCATTTTCCACACCTCAAGTGTCTGCAACAATAAAACGGGGGAGGGAGGAAAAATAGGGATGCTGAAGACGAAGGAGAGGAGATATGGCATTCATTACAGCAATTGAAATGGACAAAAGCCAAAATTCAAGGCAGGAAAAAAAGACGACAGCTCAAGTTGGAAAAGGGATAATAAAATGTTTGCATATAAAATATTAAATAAAAGACGCAGCGAAGGAGCAGAGGAGAAGAGTGAGCCTTCTCTACATAGAACGCAACGAAATGAGCGAGCACACAGCAAGAAATTAAAATGATAGTCCTCAAAAGAAAAAAACGTACTATCATTTTAAAATAATGCTTTGACCGTATATACAATTGTTTTGTTTAAAATTGGTGTCTGTGCGATCACTCACCAAATTTTAATAATTTCTTACCTAAACTTACTATCTAAGACAATAGGTTTTAGTACTTATTTTTCCTGTGCACCTACGTCAGCGGCAACAACAAAATGACAGAGCCAGGTGGACCAAGAGATCCAGGTGAGTTTTTGGGTTCCCGGGCAAAAGGCTCAACGGGTGGGTAAATAAAGCCCATCTATGTGTGCAATGTACGCTCGCTTGCGGGTGTATGTGTTGCACAACTTAATGATGAGCTTGGCAAAGCCGTTAGTGGGCGTATCAAATGGCAGAAGCAGCGCAGTCGGCGCACAAAATGGCAGCGCATGCGTCGCACTGCTCTAGCGCCCATATTTTTGTATGGCCAATCGGTGGGTGTGTCCTCGCTCACACACACGCACTCTTGATTAGCCTCGACATTTTGTTACTGTTGCTCTCTCGCCGTATCTCTTTCTCTCTTTCGCTCTTTCTGGAAATTCAACAGGGCACCCACACCCACTATTGCCAGCTCACTTACTCGTATAGAAAGACTATTTGATGCATCGGCACTCCAAAAATTTGAACTTTACTTTTAGCTCAAAAACCGGCTTTTACTTTCGTTCAAAAAAACCAAAAAAAACTCCAAAAATTTTCCAAGCAAATGCGAATTCAATAATCTACTTTGTGACAGAATACAATTTTTTTTAGAAATTAATCAGCACAGCGGAGTCCACTCGAGAATTCAGGATATTGGAAAAGCGCACAATTTCCAAGTTGATTAATTTCGCACCACTGCCTTGCAATTGTGTGCGTTCGTGTGTGCTTGCATGAGTGTGCGAGAGTGAGTGGCACACGCTTCTTACCTGTCCAAAATTTATTTTTTTCGTTGGCTAACAAAGGTATCTCCACAAAGATACCACAAAAAGTAGCCAAAAAAGTCCCGAAAATTTCGCTATTTATTTGTGTGCTCTCGACTGTTATGAATTAAGTGTCCTGAAATGTGTGTTCGTACGCTTTGTTGTTGCCCATCGCTTTGTCAGTCGTTAAAAATGTTACCACAAAAATCACAAATTGCGGGATCAAAGGTGAATAGTGGAAGGGGCTTGCTAAACAAAAAAAAAAAATTATAGTATGCATATGTATCCGCCAATAACGTTTTAGTCCCAGTCCCCATGAAACAATAGTTTTAAGTACTAGAATAAATAAGGAATATGCTAGCTAACAAAAAAAAAAAACTGAGCCGATGATAATTTTTAAAAAGGTATATTACATTAATATTGATCATAGGTGTTTCAGTTTTTCAATTTTCAATATTTGAAAAGGTGTATTTATGTTTACTTACTGTCTTATTTTCGAAATATTTTAGTTATCATCGAAGGTAAAATGCAGCAGGCATGAAACTAGAAACTTTACATTGTTGAATGTTCAAAACATTTTAAGAAATTGTAATGAGTAAATTCAAAAACCCCACACAATCATTCACTTGGAAGCGTAACAATTGATGTTTGCGGTCACCCTAATGCGATAGTCGAGACCGCTTGTTATTCGACCCCGAACATTAATATTCATTTTCATTGATAAAAACAAAGCAGTGCTGTATGAATTTAAAATTTCATTTCATTATTAAAATAAATATTTGATCTATTAAATCTGTTTATTAAAATATTAAAACAACTCAAACAATCGAGTTTGACTGCGTAAATATCGATAAAAACCTGCCCCTAAAATGTCCAGATTTGGCGGGAAAAAAGCGAAACTGACAGACCTGCCGCTGGCCTAAGGTTGTTGGAAAAGACACGTAAAGCAACAAAGATACCCACAGATTTATCAAATTTATGAATTAAATAGGAGTAAACAAGGAACCAAACAACATGGACGCTGGCGTGTGGTACCGCTCGCTGCCCCGATTCACCAGGTATTGGCTGACGGCCACCGTGGCGCTCAGCATGCTTTGCCGCTTCGACATAATCCCAATATATTGGCTGCATCTGGACCGAAATTTGGTTTTTGGGAAGCTGCAGCTCTGGCGATGTGTGACGTCACTATTCGTCTTTCCGATTTCGTCAAACACGGCGTTCCACTTCCTCATCAACTGCTTCTTCATCGTACAGTACAGGTGCGTGGGATGTAGTATCCGTACTTTATGCACATTTTAACTTCTTTCAATGCAGCTCGAAGTTGGAGAAGGACCAGTATAGCCGAAGTCCGGCGGACTATCTGTACCTTCTGATTGTTTCTGCGGTGCTGGCCAATATTGGGGGCATGCTCTTCAATGTGTACTTCCTCATGGACATGCTCGTCCTGGCGATCACCTACATATGGTGCCAGCTGAACAAGGACGTCACTGTGAGCTTCTGGTTTGGCACCAGGTTCAAGGCCATGTATCTTCCCTGGGTCCTGGCCGCCTTCGAGTTCATTTTCCACTTGTAAGAGCTAGCTTATGGTGTTGTGAGTGAATTAATCCAACAGTTTTATTCCCTGCAGCTCCCTCGCTTCGCTGGTTGGCATCTTCAACGGACATGTCTACTACTTCTTCAAGTTCCAATACTCCCAGGATCTGGGCGGCACTGCCCTGCTGGAAACTCCTCAGTTCTTGTACGTAACTAAACGCAGCTCAAGGTCCTTAATATTCATGGGTTTTTTGCTCTTTTCTTGCAGAAAGCGCCTTGTGCCGGACGTTTCCGGCGGATTCGGTGGCTTCGGAGTGCCGCCGGAGAGCAGAGCACCACCGCGACAGGCGCCTGAGAGTCCTTGGGGCCGGGGCATGACCTTGGGTCGGAACTGATCCTCGAAACTAGACTAATTCCCCTTTTTATGGTTTGGTTAACTTCTTTTCATAACCAAGCTCTTTTTACAAAACACTAAAATAGTATTTTTCAAACTATTTTTCAATCACCACTCGATTCTCTGGCAACAGCAATAAGTTAACATGTTAAGTGGCAGGATTGCATTGTGCATTATTGAAATTATATTAATATATGTTTGTACATATAACCATTAAAAAAAGACAAAGGTGCACGTGTGTTTTGTGGCAAGGAAACATTTGTTAAACTATTTTAACTAGGAAACGACCGAAATCAGAACGGAAGTCGGACAGATTTAAATCTTGCAAAAAATGCAATCGTAATTTTGTTTCTAAAGATGATTAAATAATCAATCGGTTTCTGGGGTTCCAATAAAAAGACCTTGTAACTTTATTACATTTAAATTTATTTCGTTTAAAATTTCTATGCTAAAAATTTTACAGCGACACGCATCGTTCAACAATATTTTTGTATTAGATTTTTCTGCTCATTTCTGTGGAGGGGAGGAATTCTCTGATTTAAGATGGTGTTTCCGTTTGCTTTTCATTTTGGGCTTGGTCTAAAAGTACAACATTTTTCTTAAGATTTGGATTTACAAAATCGACGCATAAAATACTTAACATCTATAAATCGTTAATGGGTAATCATCTGTTTTTTGTGTGTGTGGCATGAGTTCTCTTTCCTTTAAACATGTGTGTGCTTCTTAGCCGAACTAGGTGTCTATACATATGTATATTTATATATGCGATATAAGGTTTGCATTTCGAAATTCATCTGATATTTACATGTTCGGATTGGGTCAACTAGGGTCTATAATCTCATACAATTAAGAAATCTTTCAAGGTGAACATTTAAACAATTTTCTCACTTATTTTCTTGATTCTCGAATTTTGTTGTGTACAATCTTTCATTTCTGGGATGAGCTTAGGCAACTAAACTAGAGCGAAATTATGCTAGGCAAAAAATGGGGGGCGAAGTGAGGACTATATTTACAGGCTATACAAAATCGGGGTTAGTCTGCAGAGGCATCTGCCCTATGTACAGGAGAGAAGGGGAACGATTCCAGGCTCCGAAGACTGCAGGCGGATGAAATGAAGTGATAAACTAGAGCTAACACGAATTCCAGGGTGTACCTTTCACTATACGATAATATGTTTAAAACAGTAGTGGTTGGTGTGATTTGGCAACTTAACTATTGCGAAAATAACGCTCATCTTTAACTTAGGCTCCACAAATAAGCATAGAGAACTGTTTACGATAATCTTGCACTTTGCTCCAAGGCTGCGGGTAGCGGTAACTAAAACTAAAAAGAAAAACTCTCGACATTGACGCTAAACTACTAAATAAATCTAATTCAAAACCGGGTCTGCTGGGCGTGTGTGTGTGTGTGTGTGTGCGTTCTCTCACTCGAAACTCTCGAAATGGGGAATCGTTTAAGGTAACTTAATTGGTGATCGGATGTCCGATCTACAGGGCAGCTGCTCCTGCTCCAACTGGCTGCTCCAATGGCTTCTTTTGCTGCTGCGCAGAAGCAGAGACATAGGCCTTCAGCGTGGTGGTGGCCGTCTCCGGCGATATGTTGCTGGTGCTCTCGATCTCGATGGGCTGCTCCAGGTCCATGTCCACGTACTCGATGGCGCTGTCATCCTCCGGATGCAGTTCAATAACTGGAAAAGAGGGAGGTACCAATAAAGCTATGAAACTGCTTCAAACCTGCTTTGGCTTTACATAAAATATGCAGAGGGGTTCAACGAATTGATCCAACATTATACAACTCAAGGCTGAATTGCATTAAATCAAAGCTTGAAAGCCGGCAAACCATACTCACTGCTATTGTTCAGGTCCATGGTAGATGCTTGCTCACTCCGCTCCTGCATTTCCTCCTCGAGGTCCTCGTCCTCTTCGATTATGACATCGTCGTCCAGCGCTTGTTTCGAGGGCGTGCTGGCCGACTTGGTGGCCGCCTGATCGAGCTCCATTTCCCAGTCCGTGGCATTGAACACCACCAGGGGAGAGTTCTTGACCGAGGACTGGTTCAGCTCCGTTGTGGTTCCATTGTCCGCCACAATGATGGGCATATTGATAATATCGATGGGTGTGTCCTCGGTGATGAGCTGATTGGGTTTCGGCTTCGCTCCGCCCGGCGGATTGGGAGACGAGGCGCTGGCCGCGGGCGCCGGGGAAGTGGTTGCACCGATGACCAGCACATTGGACTTCGGCTTGGCGGCCAGCGTGAGCGCCCGCATTCCACTCGCCGCGCTCGCCGGCAGGAAAACCAGGTTGTTCTTACCACCGCCAGCAGTGGCGAAGGTCAGAGTGGTGGGCTTGCCGCCCCCACCCGGCTGCTTGGCACTCGAACTCAAGCCGGCAACGGTGGTAGTGGTGGTCGTCGGACTGCTGCCTCCGCTATTCGCACTCGCACTGGCCGGCTGGAGTATCTGCATCTTTTGTATGCTGATCCTCTGCTCTCGCGCCGGCAGATTGGTGGGCGAGACAGCTGTGGTGGTGCTGGTCACCACTCCCCCAGTCCCGGATCCCGAGGTGCTGCTTGCATTGTTCAGCTTGTGAATGATGCTCCCAGCTGGCAGTTTTCCCGGCTGCAGAAATACCTTTCCGTTCGGTGAGCAAATCTTTATGTTGCGGAGGGCGCTGCTGGGCACCTGCTTGATGGTTGCCGCTCCTCCCGAGCTGCTGGTCAGCTTGATGTTCCCCAGTATTTGGGGCGCAGTTCCCGAGCCCCCTGCTCCTGCCGCTCCTGTGGCAGCTCCACTTGCACCACCCACCGATCCACCAGCACTTGCTTTCACTGGCGGTGCGGTCACCTTCGCTCTGAAAACACTGGCCGGTACTGTGGTTCCGGCTGGGGGCAGCGGTGTGATCAGTGTGTTGTTCAAACTGCTTGCCGGAATATTCTTAATGATATTAACTGTGGAGGCGCTACTTAAGGGAGTAACCCGGGAATCCTTAAGCGGCGACAGAGGACCGCCAATGGGTTCCGTGTACGGCAGCAGTCGGACCGCCGAGCTGGGCAAGGTTTTGGGTTTGGCATCGCCTTCCAGGAGATTGAATTTCTTGGGCGTGATCTTGGAGCCCGGCGGCAGGAGAGCGGTGTTGGCGGAACTGGTTGGCGAGGCCACAGCCGGCCGCAGTTTGGCGCCCATTGGCGGGGCTGGGATCTGTTGAACACTGATGATCTGCGGAGCCAGAGGAAGATTCGCGGTGGAAATGGGAGTGGGCGTAGTGGCGGCAGATGGCGGCGTGTCCGGATGCCTCTCCTCCACCACGTACTTCTTGACGGGGGTACTGGGATTTGCACCTTGAGTTTGCACCTGAGCCGGAGAAGCCTGGAGTTTCTCCTTGAAAACTATCGGCGAGTTGGCAAATCCCCGAGCACCTGGCGTCGTGGGTGAGCCTATTTCAGCGGCTCCCGATCCACTTTGCGGCCCGTAGACCACTGGTTTTATGGGCTTTAGCGGCTTCAATGTGACCAGTGAGGAAGGAAGGAAGATGTGCGGGGGCGTGGCTGTGGAAGCGGGCGGTGGAGGCGTGCTGGCCGCCAGCGTCTTGAGCGCCTCATCGAGCACGTACTCCACATGCGGCTGCACCGTCAAGTGATTGTGCACCGCCTCCGGCGACTGCATTAATACTTTCTGTTGCTGGTGTTGCTTGCAACTTTTGTTGCTGCTGTTGTTGCAGTTGCTTCTGTGCCCGCCGACCACTCTTGGCCGGTGCTGCTATCCTCTTTCCGGGCGAGGATTCTCCCCCGAAGTGGAAACGCTCCTGCCGCCCAATGGACTGCCCGTCTGCGAGGAGGGCGAGCCGAGGTTATTGGCCAGGTTACGTTTGCTGGCCAACCGCTGCTTGTGCCTCATCTGCTGCTGATAGAAGTAGCGTTGCTGCATCGTCCGCGGGCTCAGTCGCTTTTCCAGGGGCACAGAGTCGCCCTCCTCCATCGCGGGATTCGAGGGACTCAGTTGCTGATGCTGGGGAATCGCCAGATGTGACTGCTGCGGATTTGGCTGTTGCATGTGCCTCTTCTTGTTGGGTTTGCTGTCCAATCCGCTCTCGTTCTCCTTGCGTTTCTGGGTCATCTTCTTGACTTCGTTGGGTACATCGGGTACTTTAAACTAGAGAAAGAAAGAAGGTATAAACGTAGTAAATACGTTTACAAATTTTTGGATATTTTAAATTTGTCAATGTTTATAAATTTAGTTGATATAAACAATATTATAATTTTAAAATTTAAAAACACAATATTTAATTATAACAATACGTTTTTCTTGTTATATAATCCGATTCAAAATCAAATTTGAACGGTAGACAATGTTAGCCCACTATCGATAACAGTCCATTGCCAACAGTACGTTAACAGTCGGGTTAACAGATACAGATTTCTGTTAATGGCAGTTAAAGTTAAATGACTGATTAGCAAAGATATATAAACAATTAAAACAAAAGAGATAGAGAAATGTGACATTAATAAATTAAAAGAGGTAAAATACACTGCAATATTCGACTCTGATTTACTTTTCTCGCCTAAATGACCTTCTAATTGGACCTGAATAATCCAATTGGATATTAATGTGGGCAGTTTTTATTCCTACTAAGAAATATTCCTTATTTTAGTTATCTTTAAGGTCTTATAATTGTTTAAAGGTTATATTTTGAGCGGGATTGACTTTTGGCAACTTTTTAGCGGCGGCCAATAGCAGCCGCCCACTAGATTTTAATGGCAGGTACAGTCTGCACTTTTTCTGCCCTGAAGCGAGAGCAAATTAAATCGTCGGGATTATGTAACTTACCGGCTCTTCCAAGATCACCATCGCGGGATCCTGGTTCCTGCCACTCCGGGGATATTTCAGGCTCATCAGCGAGGCCTGTTCCACGAGGGCTTCTCCAAAATGGATGGCCGTTTCGGCAGGAGTCGCCAATTTGGCGTTCTCCTCACATGCTTTGGCCGCCAGATCGTTGGCCACGATACTGAGCGCAGTTTGCGGACTGATCCTGGGAAGAAGGGGATAGGGACGTCGTCCTTCGCGCGACCACTCCTGCCAAGTGTTAGGGCCAAAAACGCTGGAGGAAAACACAGATACACACAGAGAATTAAACGTTTTTTTTGCTTGGCACAATTATGAATCTCACTTTTCCGCAATAGTGCAGAGCTGCTCGTCGTTAGCCGCCCTGCGCACCTCCGCCCGATGGCGCTCCTGGTTGATATGGAACTGCTGGCGCAGCTCCTCCAGCAATTTAGACTTGGTTTCACTCAGGGCTCCTTGGGCGCGAAAACGCTCACCACATGCGAATAGGACTCGAGTTCTAGTGGGACGAACAAACGAGGACAAAGGGGAAGGTATGGATTAGTGGGAAGTGCTCCTCCAAACGGGCCATCCTCGACAGCTCCCAAGGATTGGGAAAGAGTTTCGTGGACCATTCAGCTCTCACCAAGTCGACGCAGCATGCCTCGGCACTCGTCCCGCGACATTTCCAGCGTTTGCGGCCACATCACGACAGTCCCTTGATCGGTGTCCTTGGCCGGCGGCGATCCCTTGCTTTTGCGGTTGCTTGAGCTTTGACCAACGCAGGATTAACGCCTGCTCAAATTAAACAAACTCCGAGGGCAGCGTTTCTAATATCTCATAGCCACTCACAGCGAAACGCGGCAGCGATGCGCGCAAGAAGAAGCAGACCCACCAACCAAAAAGTGCGCGCTGAGCAGCACTGTTCCGGATTACCGTTCACGGGGAAGCGGCTCACAGGGATGCGCAGTGCGCACAAGGAGTTAGTTGATTCCGTGACTGTTAATTTACGATTGCACATCATATAAATATTTGGTACAAGAAATCCTACGTTATAATAAATTGCAAATATTTATTAATTTTTTATAGCTTTGCAAATTTACACAATCCTCGATTGTACCCTGAGCCTTGTTATCACTGGCGGCCAGTCACAGCTTGGTTCATCAATCTTTAGTCACAGGTTAAGTATTAAACTATAAATTTATATATGTATAAAGGTACATTTTCCATTTTTCCATTATGTTTACCCCTTTCAGAGATCCCGTGATTTCAAATATTGAATTGCGTCCCCGGACTGAAAGTAAACATAAAGAATCAGTTGACAAAGAAAAATAAACAGATGTTTTACCGACCTTTTTAAACCAGAAAGATGACATAAAGCTGATCTGGTTCCCGATGTTCATATCGGATGGGGGATATATTGCATGGAGGTGAAGGTGGCGGACCGAAATAAATGGGGGCATATGAAACCCAATAGTTGCCTTGGTCGGATCTATATTCTTTGATTTGAGGAAGTCAACCATACCCGCCTCCATACGTTGCACTGCGGATACACAGAAATATTTTGTTAAGCCTGCTAATAACTTGAAACGTGGCCTATCTTACCCAGTCCCAGGTGAGATCTGTTGAGTGCCTTTAAGCTGTCGAAATGCTCCTTCGGAATCGCCAGGTAGTGATGCTGGGCCGCAGGATACTTGTCCTTGAAGATGACGTACTCATCCGTTTCTACCTCCAAAACTGGAGGAGGTCCTTTTCTGTGGTGGGCGAAATCACAAAAGAAACAGTCTTGATTTTCTGATACCTGAGAACTTTCGCCGCCACATTTGTAGATCGATACCAGAATTATAAGGCCTAGACCAGCCAGACCGGCTAAATATAGTCGTCTCCTTTTCATAAAGCTTTCTGTCAGCTTATCAGTCATTCTTTGCGTTTATTCCTATGTAAAGGTTATTTTAAGATCGGTTTTGATTTTTTGGGTCAGGTAAATTGTTAAGCAAACATTGTAGCGGGTATTAACCCTTTAACCATTAAACGGTCTTATTTGCCATTCAAACGGAACCAATTAAGTAGGCGCGCATTTGAATTTTCAATGAAAATATTTTACAAAAACAAAAAAAGATTTTATAAGCTAATTAAATTCATGGTACATATTTATTTTATAGCAACATAAAACACAAAGTGTAACATACTGGGCCTTACAATTTTTTTAATCGATACCCACAAAACATCGGTTTCATTGGCAATTACCTGAACCATCCCTATAGAATTAGACATTCACCGGGAAGCGCAACAATGGTCTTGAATTGAAATGTTATTATTTTTTCCGAAATTTTCCGGAAAATCACTGCTGGAAAATGTTGTTCCGCTCAGCAAAAAGCAAGTTCGACGCTGGCGACGTGATGCGTCGGATGAAGCGACTGGCGGAGGGCACCATGTCTTCGTACCGCCGACTGTTCCTCCTGCTCCTCTGCGTCTGTGTGGTTTTCTATATGATTCCGCCGATATTTCGCTATATCTTCCTTAGTGCCCCCGAAAAAAAGGGTAAGTCTGTCAGCAAACTCTAAAGTCGTTAACTAACCAATATGCCCTGCAGATCCTCATAGCATGTGTATGGACGATCGGCTGACGCCCTTCATACTACAGAACTTTGAGTTCGATGCCAATATTCGTCACGTGTCACCAGCAAAATTGCCGGGCGAGCGCGATTTCACGCCCTATGTTGGCAACGGCTATCTGGGTCTGGAGATCGCCCATGACGCCTTTCTTAACATTAAACATGGCAGGGCTATGCAACTCCCCATTCGCTTCCAGCCGTTGGTTTCTATTTCCGGAGGATCTGGTGGCGAAAAAGAGGCCACCGTTGTCGAGTATCTAACGGGTATGGTTCACCGATTCCAGTGCTTCGCGGGATACTTTGCTTCCTACACCTACTACGCTCATCGCACTCAGCCGAATATATTCATGCAGGAGCTGCAGATCACAAATACCAGGAATCTGGTCGAGGACATCGAGCTAATTATGCCACGCGTCAGCCTGCCGAAGCTCACCAGGCGAACCGTGACCCTCAGGTTGGTGTTAATTTAACTTTCAGTTGATAAAAACTACAGTCATTATTTTCCTCTATTAGTGAATCCGTTTCGGTGGGTGTGTTTACCTACAACGAACTGGAGGTAATCACGGCCACGGTGCAGCCCAACCCAGAAACTCCCACTAAATCCATTGTGATAAGCATAGTGAAGCCGCAAATGGATTCCAAATTGCAGCTGAGGAAGCGGGGCACAGTTCGTATTGTGTATCCCATTGCAGTGCAATATTCTAAACCAGTGCCGGAGGCTCAAGTAAAGGGTATAAGCGATACCACTGAGCAGCAAGCCACACAGGCGATGACCAAGCTCCTGCAGAAACTCGGTTCCTCAAATCCGGGTTCCCTGAATAGCATTAACACCTATCGGCAAGAGCACATTGATGTGTGGACGGATCTGTGGGCCACTGGCTTTACGATAAGCACCTCGAAGGCGGAGAACAGCTTGAACGGTGATCGCATCAATGCCACCATGTATGCAGTTCTCTCCCAGGTGCGCAGCTTTGAATTTGAGGAGACTGGTAGCTCCAAGAAGGAGGACATTGCTAAAGCACTCACCTACGCCGAGGGCTGCTATGATTCGTATCACACTCTGCAGGCGGAGAACCTCTGGCGCGAAATGTCCAATTTGCAGCAGCTCAATTCGCTGGTAACTTCCTGGATGCTCACTTTGGAAAAGCAGGGCTGCCACAATCTTATCCGAGCTGGAGCCTCGGGCGTAATTCAAGGCATGGTCTTGAGCTTTGGCAGTTTTCGTTTTAGCAATCAGCACCTGGAGTGCAATATCCATCCAAAATTCCTGCACAGAGACTTTCACTTCCGGCGCCTCAACTACGGTAACAAGACCCATGTCAATGTCACCATCATTGTGAAAGAAGACAACAAGGCAGTAATCAATGTGGCGCTGGATCGTTCGGACAGGAGCTACTACGCCTGCGATGGCGGCTGCCTGGATGAGCCCGTGTTGCTAACGTAACTTAACTTATTATAGAGTAGTATTAGTATTTTATTTGAAAAATGAAATTTACTTTGCAGACAAAACCGACGACAATTCCCAGTTAAACTGACTGAGCCTTCAACAGCAATATTATACATAACCGAGGACAAGCAGCACATGGAAGAGCTGCACCATGCCATCCATGTCAAAGAAGTAGTCGAAGGTGAGCTTTTGCTCTGTAATTCTTAACTATTCCTAATTGATCTTATTCTTGTTGCTAAGCTCCTGCCCACGAGCAGCATCTGATCGCTCTGCATCGGCATGGCCACCAACTGGGTGGACTGCCCACGCTTTTCTGGGTATCCGTGTGTGCAATAATCATAGTATTTCACATTTTCCTGTGCAAGCTCATTATCAAGGAGTACTGCGAACCGAGCGATAAGTTAAGATATCGTTATAACAAACCGTGATCCTAGTTGTATATAAAATTGGATGCTAGTAAAATATGAATATCAAAATAAAAATTAACAGCTTTTTTACCATTGTTAGTAATTTAAGTTGCTGTTCACACTTTTTTCTGTGAGATCTTCCTTGTTATTTAAAATTTGTTCAATTTTATGTTTTAATACCACCCTTTTCTTTGGAAAAGTAAATTCAAATCTAAATATATTTTCTAATATTTAAAATGCTTTACTTTAAAAAGGCAGATCATTTAGCTTATATACAGAGATAAATGTAGAGAGTGCAAAATGCAATTGGTTTAACTAGAGTTCGTGCTAGAAAATTCGTACAGGTGCCGATTGAAAGGTACTACGGAAACTCCGACTCTACTTCGATCTCCACAGGTCCACTGGTTGTCCCACCCTACTTGGTGACATTGTGTATGCTCTCGGCCAAGTATTGGACATTCTTGCTGGTGACTCCCGCCATCGAAACACGACCGTCGTTGGTCAGATAGACACTGTGCTCCTTGATCAGTTTCTGGACCTGCTCGGGCTTCAATCCCGTGAAGCAGAACATGCCGATCTGGTTGACGATGTGGTCCCAGTTCTGGCTGGATCCCAGTTTCACCAGGTTGTTCTTCAGCTGTGCACGCACATCGATGATACGGTCGGCCATCAGCTTGACGTCCTTCAACCACTGGGCACGCAAGTCCTCGTTGTTCAGGATCTCAGCGGCAATCCTGGCTCCATGAACCGGGGGATTCGAGTACAGTCCACGGATCAAGATCTTGACCTGGGACATCACGCGGGCAGCCTCCTCCTCGTCGGAGCACAGCACGGTGAAGGCACCGGCACGCTCGCCATACAAACCCATGTTCTTGGCGAAACTCTGGGCCAAACAGAAGTCGTGGCCATCGTTCTCAAAGGTGCGAACGGCCTGGGCATCGCGATCGACGTCTCCGGTGGCGAAGCCTTGGTAGGCCATGTCGATGAAAGGATAGAGATTGCGCTGCTTCACCACCGCCGAGATCTCGCGCCACTGCTCCAATGAGGGATCCACTCCAGTGGGGTTGTGTGCGCAGGCGTGCAGGAGGACGATGCTCTTCTCGGGGATTTTCTAAAATAAACAAGTAATTCGGTTAGCACTGTTAATTAAAAAAATAGTACAAATAGTACCTTCAGATCCTCAATCAGTCCGGCGAAGTCAAGGGCACAGGTGTCCTTGTCGTAGTAGCGATACCGGTTCACCGGCAGACCGGCGTGTTCGAAAATAGCCACATGGTTGCCCCATGATGGGGATGGGATGTAGATCTCGCGGTTGCCCTTCCAGAACTTGGCCAGGAAGGCAGCTCCGATGCGCAGGGCACCAGTTCCACTGATTGACTGGGCGGTGACATTGTGCTTGGCCGCCAGACGTTTGGAACCCTAGAGAGGCAAGATAATAATTCTCAGTTGCATATTTTATATTTTGAAAGTAAAGACTTACCTTTCCCAAAGCCAGCTCAATGGCTTTGTTGTAGAACTCGGGAACACCGATAATAGTGGCATACTCCTTGTCCAACTTGCGGCCAATAACCCTTTTCTCAGCCTGGTTTTAAAACACTTCTTTAGTTATGTCCACAGATCTACAAATTTGGCTTATACCAACCTCACGGACACTGGGCAGCACAAAGGGCTGAGTGTTGTCATCGCGGTAGGCGCCAGCGCCCAAGTTGATCTTCTTCGGGTTTGTGTCCTTCTTGAAAGCCTCTGTTACGCCCAAAATGGCATCGGGAGGACCCATTTGCACCTCCGAGAACCATGTTGACCTGGAAAAAAATAATTAACTATTAGACTGTGAAGCCTTAAAAGTTATTTATAAAGAATGGAGACGATAAGGTTACCCCCAACAACCTCTAAAAAACTGTTCTTTTATTATAACCTTGAACTTAAATAATTTAATTTTTCTACTTATCTGAATAATGGTGAAATGAAATTAATGTGTATTATACTTTTTTAAACATTTTTTTAATTATCTTTTACTTAATTACACTTTTTGCCTAATCTGCATTTCCGTCCCCAAACCTTTAACCCTTGAATACTACCCAAGTTGTTCTTATCTGGTTTAAATTAAATTGCAAGATTAGGAAACTGCTTAGTGGGTTATCTCATCCACGTCTGCCACTTGGGGCTAGTATTTATCTTTTCGGTTTCATGACTAAAGTTTGAAAGTCATCTAGAGGTTTTCTTGGATTTCGCACCCACTGTTAACACCTCGTACCCCAAAGACATGGGGGTCTTAAATAGCCCCCCCTCTTATCAGCTGTAAACATGTTATTATGGGAACTCGGTCGACGATTTACAGAATACACAATATAGATCTAATAAATCCTACGTCAGCGATAAGGTCGACGATTGGTCGCTGACGTAGCCGGCTTGCCGATTCTCCTTATTATTCAGAACGGAAATAGAACTTGGAAGTAATCAAACTTAATTAAAGTCTTTCAATTAGATGCCACCTGTATTCGGAACTGATTTGTTTGATTTCTTTGAGGAACCTTCTGAAGTTTGATAAAACCTAAGAAGTTCCATAAAACCGAAAGGGAATCACGCGACTATAGCGTGATATGACCACGAATACTCTACACTTTATTCGCCCCGCATATACGTTGGCCAGGATCGTTGCTCCACACATTTACTATATCCTTTAGCGCCGATAAAATGGCTCTGCTCATAACTATAACAATTTTGAAGCAAACGCAATAATTACAAACGAAAAATGTTCCACTTAAAAATTTTTGATTTAGTACTGATTATTTTGTGAAGTTATATTCATGACTGTTTGCTTAGGATCTTCTTAAGATTATGATAAGTTATTTTCATGTTGAAAAAAAAAACGAATTAATATTTACTCCATCGCAAAAAAAAAAAATTAGCAAATAGAGCTGCGGTACCGCATTTAATATTCGTTGGTTTCTAACCAATTCATCATGTGGTAATAAATGTTCTGCCAAGCGGAAGAAAAATGACAAAAAATAGCATGGAGCGTCAGAAAATTGGCTTTAAAAATAAATACACGTACGTCCGTCGATAAAAGGAATCTTTATACTATGTAAATCAGCGAACCCAAAACATATGCAAGTATTACCCAACGAGATAAAACCAGCTGGAAGCAGGGGCAATTGTTTTAGATTTGCTACGAGAAAATGATGATGAAACGTTAGGCCCCCGCGCTGATATAACAATAAATTTTGAGAACAGATAATTAAAGTAGAACGCTAAATCAGATGACAAAATTCGCGAGGACAAACAAATTATGCAGTAATGGAGAAAACAAACACAAACAAACACAATTGAACCGGCAACTGCAATGACCTTGGCAAATGACACCGCTGCATTTGCAACGTGTTCGGCGGCCTTCCGTCTCTTTTCCTCCTATCTCCCACCTGATTTAGCCCCTCGCTTTCGCTCTTACTTACTTGCAGCGGAGGGCGGCGGGCGCCAATCGATTGCTGATCAACAAACCGCGCTTACAGATCTGCGACATTGTTAAATGCACAAAATAGTTGTACTAAAACGTTTTAAGACAATTAGTAATTGCAAAAATCGTTGCCAATCGTCGCTGGCCCCAAGAGAATACTAAAAAATAAGCGGCAAATGGGAAAGTCGAAAGCAAAAGCTTAGCCGGTCTGTTATCGATAAGTTTTGGGGGTGAGGCAAAGCTTTTCAGTGCTCCCCCTTTAGCTTTTATCTCACTGAGTGCAGATACTTCTAATTTATACTATGATTTATTTGTGATCAATTTTTAATAAAAAAAAACCTTTACAAGATAAAAAATATATTCCTTTTCATCAGATATTTTTTCAAACCATTAAATAAATGTTTCCAATTCGAACCAAAAAATTTAAATTTTCTAGGTACATATGTAAGACGGCGATTAAATATTTATATAGAGTCATACATTTTTTTTGCTTTTTCTGGTTTGCTTATAAAATTTAAGAATCTAGAAAATAGAAAACCCAAAATGCAGTGTAGCGATAGTATCATCCCCAAAAATCTGTGGAGCAAGCTTTTCCTTCTGAGTCGTCGCGCGCAGCTGTTCAAGTTCTCGAAGAAGCTTTTCCGTCGTCTTCGGGGCTCCCAGATTCAGTAGATTCGTAGCGCCAGTGGGGTGAAAAGCAAAAACAGGCCAGAGCCAGCGGAAGACTCATCGCGTTATTTACCTTGTAATTCAATTAACTGGAGGAAAATGCTGAGGTACGCGGTAATTGCCTGTGCTGTTTTTGTGGCCTTCGCGGGAGCTCTGGAGTTCAGCGATTGCGGATCGAAGACGGGCAAGTTCACCAGGGTAGCCATCGAGGGATGCGACACCACCAAGGCGGAGTGCATCCTCAAGAGGAACACCACCGTCAGCTTTTCCATCGATTTCGCCCTCGCAGAGGAGGCTTCGGCGGTCAAGACGGTGGTCCACGGAAAGGTCCTCGGAATCGAGATGCCCTTCCCACTGGCAAATCCCGATGCCTGCGTAAATAGTGGGCTAAAGTGCCCGCTGGAGAAGGGCGAGTCCTACCGCTATACCGCCACCCTGCCGGTCCTGAAATCCTACCCCAAGGTCTCGGTCCTCGTCAAGTGGGAGCTGCAGGATCAGGACGGCGCGGACATCATCTGCGTGGAGATTCCCGCTAAAATTCAGTAGGGTTCCCACCGCAAACCCACCCTCTAATTTAACCTCGAAATACTGAAAAGAGAGCACCATGAGCGATCCATTTTCCCTCTCTTATTGTAATCTAATTTAAAATAAAGAAATTTAAGCTTAAACAAAAGGTTTTGGATTTGACAACTGTTGTATGAATTGGTTGTAAAATGAAAATAACAATGAGTAATCAGGAAGCTCCATGCCAGTCTAGTACACACATATAAAGATATACAGTTTAGGGAGTTTTTATTATTATTGAGAAAGATATAATGACTAATGTGATCTGCAGTCTCTGAGCGGAAGCCTCAAGTTCAGAGTTCTCTCCTATTGTAATCTAATTTAGAAGAATCTTTTGTGCGGGTTTCGAGTCTCCCGTTTTGTAGGCCCCTTTTTTGTACTTTTATTTACTTTTGTCTGCTTTGATTGCATCTTCCGCTTTGATGAAAATGAGAGGAAGAAGAAAAGTAAAGAGAGAAGTAGTAGACAACTGTTGCTCCAACAATGTCTGTTAACAGTCAGATAACAGAGGGGCTAAAATACAGATATGTATTCCGTGAGATTAAGGATATTAAATGTTCAAAGCCTCGAGCAAACATCTTGAATTACCCTCGATCATAAAATGAAATGTGTTTTCGTTTACTGTGTGCAAAGATAAGTTATATCAGTGGGAAAATTTTATGCACCGAAAAATATAAGATGGTAAAAGAAACAAAAATTACATAGAAAGAAAAGTTCTTTATATTAATTTTAAAACTTTTTAAGCTTTTTTTTCTTGGTATTGTTTATAAAATTTATTTGGGAAATTGATAAGAAAATGTTATTCCATTGGTAGTGTGATATAAATAAGCTAATAATATGACCTGATAAGAAAGTTCCACATGAGTAAGAAATCGCAGGTGCTGTTGACAATTTGTAATCCTGAAACTTGACCGATTTAATAATCTTTGCGCCTTTTTTCAGTCGCGCAATCGAACGACATTCATTGTTGTCTTAGCTCCTTGAGTAGACTACTCACTGCCAGGGCAAAGATAATGAGTAAGCAGCTCTTTATGAATCGAAAACAATGCTCATCAGTGTTTTGGTTTCGATTACGGTCTAGAGTTCGTATTCCATTCTCATTTGGTGTTCTCCGTTCTCGCGAACAAAGAGCAGCCTGATAAGACGCCAAAAACAACAGAAACATCGCAAAAATAGCGGGCGGTGGGTGGTGGGTGGTTTTTGGGGTAGGGTAGCAGCTGAACCCAAGTAGAAACACAAATCAACTGCAGCAGAGCTTTCCATTTCGTTTTCTCAATTTCCATTCCTTTTTCAGCCATAACACACTCTCACACATACACACGAAAATTCCCAAGCCATATGGCCATATGCAAATAATGCAGGGGGTGGTGGGTGGTGGACAGGGGGTTGGTGGGTTGTGCATCAGATAGAATTATCCGCAGTGCGCTAGTACCGGGATATTTAAGCAAAGAAATCGCTTTATTACATTCACTTTGCGCCACGAAACGCTTGAAATGCAATTCTCTGCCCCTGGTTTGGTGTCGGATTTGGATTCCGCATCCAGAATTTATTTTCGGTAGTCCTTGAGGTACTTTGATCCGGATTATGTATATAAAAAGACCAGCTTATCTTAAGAATTGATGACAAAGATCTGTACTTTTTTTATATTCGGACATTATTAAAACATTAATTTTACCTTCAAAGTAATATATAATATGTACTTCAAAACACGTATCTTATATAACTAAATCCTAGCCAATGACGTTAAGTTTTACCTTCCGGTTAGGGCTTCCGGAAACCAACTCTGCGAGAAAAGAACTCCACTTCCTCTCGTGTTTTCACTTGATTTACATATGAATCCTCATAAAGCACGGCAGTCCGAAACTGCAAAGAAATGTGGGCCAAGCTTCCAGTCCATTCTCTTAACCCACCGACGCCCGGCAGGCCGGCCCCCTTAACCCATCTGTAGACACAGCTGACGTTTAAAAACTTGACACAGCGCTGCATGCAAAAGTGGGCGGATGGGCGGTTGGGCGGTTGGGGGAAGGCGACAGCGCAGAAGGGGGCGGTGGGAGAAATAAAAATGGGAAATGAAAAGAAATGTAGGCGGATGTGGGCACACTTAAAAAATCGTATCTCAGAAGAAAGGTTTTGTAAGTATGCCAAAAATAAATTTGGTTTTAACTTTAAGATTTTGTTTTACCAAAAAAATTGTTAGTTATTATTTATGGTAAAGGTTGCTAGGATTATACATTTCTATCCCTATATCAGCAATCAATATATTGAGGTCCTGCAGAATTTGAGGGCTACCACCCATTTTAAGATAGCAAATGGAATATGACTGTAGTAACTTAATTCTTTTCCTGTGCACTCCTTGTAGCTCTGCATCTGGCTGCATATCGTATGAGTTAACCCACCAGGCGCCACTCCCCGCCCCCCAGAATCCCCGCCCCCTTTGTAAGCCGCTGTGTCTGCACAGAATTTCTTGCATAAATAGCAGCATGTGCGGAGATCTCTCTTTGTCTGCGAAATAAAAACAAAATACTTCTGCTCTCGCTGCATTTAAAAGTAAAATGCAACTTCCGCCCCAATCGAACGTTAATGTTATATGAACAGTTTTCGTTGCCATGCGGTTGGCCATTGTAAATATATTCGGAGCTCTGGCTCTCGTTCTGGTCATGGTCCTGGTTCTGGCCATGTCAGTTTTTGGTCACTGCACAAAGCGAGTTTTCTTGTTTGGCTCGGCTGCATTAAATTTCGTTAATTACGAGTCTCCACTTTAAAATTGGGATTGTTTCGGGGTGTACGAGTCCCCTTCAACTGTCGCTGACAGTCTGCCCAACTTTATGTTTATTTTTATTATGTTTTCATATTTTTTGCTCTTGCTGTTTTAAAGTACTTTTAGTGGTGTCAAAACTTTGAAATTCTGTGGGCGAAATGGCTTGATTAATTGTTTAAGTTAGAAATTTGTTTGTGGCACATGTCGTTGACTAAATAATATGGACATTTTATGAATTATGTTAGCTATCATCATTTAACGGTTGGAAAACGATTCGGCTCGCCAATTACATAAAAACGAAACCGTATGAGCACATTAAAATCTTTATTTAAATTTTAACGAACGTGCTGCTAAGCAACTGATGTTCATTTATTGAGGTTTGAAAAATTAGTCCTTTTTCTTTGCATTAACTGAAGTGCTAGGGTTGGCCATTTGCGCCCTCGCATAAATAATGCAACCGAACTTCTCAAAGGCTTCCTCACATTTATCGTCGAGCTTTACGGAATCGCAGTTATGTTGTGCTCCTTTTAGTAAAGTATTGACTCTATCGAAGGCTTTAAATTTATCCATAAAGCACTTCAAAAACACTTGTCGTCTCTTGTTTTGACAAAAGTGGCGTCCCTCCTAATAGATTCGGCGTCCTTTATAGTAATGTTGTTTATTTTGGCACATTCGGCCGTAACTGTGTTTATTTCTTCGAGTGTCGGCTGAAAACACGAAACATTTTAAATAGCCAAAGCCTAGCATTGTTTGACTTACCTTCTTAGAAGCAGCTAGAACTAAAAAGCTAACCAGGAATACGGTAACAAGCAGCTTCTTCATTTCGCAGATCGTGTTTTTCATAAGTTTTTAAATATTTCAGCCACACATTTTATACACATTTTTGTGGCACACCTTCTGTACGCACATTAAAAATTTCACAGTTGTTTGTCCCACTCATTATAATAAATGAGCCAGTTATATGTTTTTTGGTTTCGATTGCGGTCCAGAGTTCGTATTCCCCTCTCATTTTGTGTGCTACGTTCTCCCCAATAAGCACATTAATATATTTACTAAATTTTAAAAAATATTTAGCCAAGTTACTGAAGTTAATTTATTGTTGATCTATCCCTTTCCTCCACATTGTAATAATTAGGCAATTGATATTCTGAAACGCTTTTTCACATTTATCGGCGTGATTTAATGAACAGCAGTTATGTTCTTCTCCTTAAGTACAATATTAGCTTTATCTTTTATTCTTTGAACACACTCCAGCGATAGCACTCGCTAAAGGCCGGGTATTTTTGGTTTTTTAGGATCACTTTGAACACTTCGCCACTGATCACAATATTTTCGGCTTCCTTTATAGGTACGTTGAAACTTTTGGCACATGAAGCCACATATCGTGCTTCTTCTTCTTTAGATACCTGAAAAAAGACATTTTGAATAGCCGAAGCTTAGCTTTGTATGACTTACCTGAGCAGAGGCTGGTAAAACCAAAAATCCAACCAGGAACACGGTAACAAGCAGCTTCTTCATTTCGCAGATAGTGTTTTTCTTAAGTTTTCAAATATTGCATCTACCTTTTATACACATTTTTGTTGGGCACCTTCTGTACGCACATTAAAAGTTTCACACTTGTTTGTCCCACTCATTATAATTAATGTGGCATTTATAAAGCATTTAAAAATCTTTTTTCAAAATTCACCGAAATGGTTCGGTTTCGATTACGGTCTAGAGTACGGATTCCCCTCTCATTTTGTGTTCTACGTTCTCCCCAATAATAATTATACACTAGTAAACCCTGCGAACTCAGTTTCGCCAGTTTCGTTTGGTGATTAAAAGATGCAGAAAGTGTTTTTTTGTTTTATATATAAAAGGGAAAAATTTTAGTTGTGCTTCTCTAAGTAAATAAAAGTGAATCCAAAGTAAGCACTGAATCGAAGCGTTGTACGTGCCCGCAAATGATGCGTTTCATTGAAGTGCTCTTTGGAAAAGGAAATTTTTGTTTTTTGGCCTGACGTTAACACAAGCGAAGCGGATCCCAACTTGTGAATTCGCAATGTATGACTGCCCAAGTGAAAAACAATGATTTTCTAAATTTTTCCCGCAATTGTTAATGTCATTGCGAACACATGGCGAACTGGAAATTGCCATCGTTTGAAGTCAAACGGATGATCAGTCGGAATCATTGGTATTCGAGGAAAGCAAACGTTTTCATCTGCGTACTTTCCGTTAATAATGGTTGCCCCACTCAATAAGTCTTTTTACCGAAAGTCCTGTCCTGTTAACTTTTGGAAATTAGCTGTAACAAGTAGACCATTTGTTCTCTTACGTCGCCCAATATTTTTTGCTCCTCCGCGAAGACGCAGCATTTCATATCTTTGTAAACGTACTCTTCTGGCATTTACTGTACTACGATCTATGTTCAAACAACGCCGTCTTCCAAACATGACTTTATAATTTCTGTACAAAATTTACTCAGCTCAAAAATAATAAATATTTTTTTAACGTATTGTGAATCTAAACCATCTTTAAACCCCCTGGAATACACACAAAAAAAAAATCAGCCAAATCGGTCATGTAATGTCGTGACAACGGAAAACGGGTTTCATTTTGATAGAGAGTATAGAGATAGATAGAGTATATATTATAGATAAAGCGAAACCGTAGGCGCACATTAAAATCTTTATTAAGTTTTAACAAAGGTTAAATGATCTATCCTTTTCCTCCACCCTAATTGAAAAGCTTATAGGATTATAGCCAAGCGGCTTTGTAATTATTTTGGCAATTGATATTCTGAACGTATTTTCCACATTTATCGGCGATCTTTATAGGGAATATCGACACCATGTGCTTTGTTCCAATAGCACTTCATGAAGGCCAAGTCTTCTTTTTCTAACGGTTTGCCTCCAAATATATAATCTTCGGCCTTCTTTTTAGGTATCTTGGCGATTTCGGCACATTCGGCCGAAGCTTTTTTTTGTTGTTCTTGTGGCGGCTGAAAACACGAAACATTTTAAAAAGCCAAAGCCTGGCATTGTATGACTTACCTGGGCAGAGACTGCTAAAACTAACAAGCCAACCAGGAATACGGCAACAAGCAGCTTCTTCATTTCGCAGATCGTGTTTTTCTTCAGTATTTAAATATTGCAGCTTCCCCTTAAATACCTTTCGGTTGCCCAACACCTTCTGTACGCACATTAAAAATTTCACAGTTGTTTGTCCCACTCATTATAATAAATATGGCAATTATATAAGTAAGCGGCACTCCAAAAATCGTTTGGCCAAATTCACTAAAGTGTTTTGGTTTCGATTAAGATCTACAGTTCGTATATTCCTCTCATTTTGTGTTTTACGTCCTCCCCAATAATTATTTAACATAAAACGAAACCGTAGGAGCACATTAAAACCTATATTAAGTTTTTACAAATGCTTAGCTAAGTTACTGATGGTAATTTATTGTGGCTTAAATGCTCTATCCCTTTCCTCCACATTAATTGAAAAGTTAATAGGATTAAGGGATGCGGACGTGTAAAAATTCTGAACCGCTTTTTCACATTTATCGGCGTGATTTAATGAACAGCAGTTATGTTCTTCTCTTTAAGTACAATATTACATTTATCTTTTAACCTCCAAACACTTTCGAGGCATAGCACCCAACGAAGTCCGAGTATTGTATGTTTTTGAACGCTTCGCCACTGATCACAAGATTTTCGGCTTCCTTTATAGGTATGTTGTATTCTTGAGCACATTCAGCCACAATTCGTGCTGTGTTTGGAGGTAGGGGCTAAAAAAAGACATTTTGAATAGCCGAAGCTTAGCTTTGTATGACTTACCCTAGCAGACTCTGCTAGAACTAAAAAGCCAACCAAGAAAACAGAAACAAGCAGCTTCTTCATGTCGCAGATCGTGGTTTTCTTCAGTATTTAAATATTGCAGCTTCCCCTTAAATAATTTTTGTGGCCCACCACCTTTTGTACGCACATTAAAAATTTCACAGTGGTTTGTCCCACTCATTATAATTAATGTGGCAGTTATATAAGTAAACGGCAGTCCAAAAATCCCCCAAGATATAATCGTTGAAAGTTTTTTTTATTATTTTGCACGTTACCTTAATTTACTTTTTAGGAGCTGTCCCTATATTTTTAAGCTATTAAATCAATCACTGTTAATGTGTGGGTAGACCTTACTCGTACATTTATAATTTTAGATATTTCATGTTCACCTGTCACCAAACTTAACGAGATTCATTGTTGCCTTAGCTCCTTAAGGAGATGATGAGTTAAAGTTCTATTTGAATCAAAATCATCACTCATCTGTGTTTTGGTTTCAATTACGGTCTAGAATTTTCATTCCCCTTACATTTAGAGTTCGCCTTTCTCTCGAACAATTACATTAAACTATTTATTTAAGTTTTAAGATTTATTAAGCTATATAGCTTGTGTGAATTTATTGTGGCTAAAAAGATAAATCATTTTTGTTTTTACATTAATTCACCTTTGAAATCCTGAAAGGATCCACGCATTCATCACAAAATTCTTTTCACAATTTTAAGGATGCACTCGAACTTCTGAAAGGCGTCGTCGCAGTCATCGGCGTTCTTGAAGAAATCGCATTTATTTTGTTGTCCTTCTAGTACATTTCTATTTTTTTCGAATATATTTGCTTTCTCCGCAAAGCATTTTATAAAGCACTTTATTTCTTTAGTTTTTCTTATAAGGAATGGGCCCGTTACAACACTCATGGCTAGCTTTAGAGGAACTCTTTGCTCTTTGGCACATTGGGCCGCATATACTGCTGCTTCTGGGATTAGGCCCTGAAAAAAAGACATTTTAAATAAGCAAAGCCTGGCATTGCATGACTTACCGCAGCAGAAGTTGCTTGGACTAAAAAGCCAACCAGGAATACGGAAACAAGCAGCCTCTTCATTTCGCAGATCGTGTTTTTCTTTAGATTTGAAAAAGTGCAACGTTCCCTTAAATACTATTTGGTGCACATTTACTGCTTGAACATTCAAAATTTCACAGTTGTTAGTCTCATTTAACAAATATAGTGGTTCAATAGGTAGTAGTCTACTTGTTTTGGCCAAAATGTACTGAAATATAATCAGAAAAATGTATGCTCTACAAATGAATTTAGCATATTATACGTTACTTTTCCTTCAGTTAGTTAGATTAAATATTATGTTAAATAGGGAAATCCCTAAAATGAGCTCCTTCAAAAAGCACAGTTTCCTTAAACCTATTCTATGGTTAATTACCCTTAAGACGAATCAACTGAATTACATTCACCTGCTATCATCTAAATTATTATAATTTCGATTTCACTATGCCAACGACTTAAAATAGTAATTACAATCCCGTGTTGCCCCTATAAAAACGTCACATATGCTTATTTTTCGATCGCCTCTGCGGTTGGTGATCAAAATTGCACGAATTCGTTTTTAATGGCTTCCCACCTCCGATCCACCTTTAATCCCCTTGTTACTTTTAACAGTTGCATCTTTTTTGTGCTCCTGTTGCGGTTTTTGCATTTAAAATGAATCCCATTTGCTGTCAGATGGAGCTGCAGCTATCTTAATTATTTGTGTGTGGCCGGCACTCGTTGTTAACAGCATGGAAATACATTGAATGCCATAACTACAAGCAAATGGCCAAAAACTGTGTCCGGGGATGTGCGTTCGTTCGCCATGAGCTGTCAATTCTTCGGCGGGATTTTTACCCGTCCCGCAGTCGTCTGAACTATGGAAAAAATGGCAACAGGAACAATCTGCAGTCCTGACGCTGACAGTTATGATATGGCAGGACACGAGGACACAAAAGGATGGCGCCGGCAAAAAATTGAAATGGCATTGCATTGCAATTAATCAAATGGCGAAACAGATAGCTTAATTTGTTTACGTTTTGCCCTGAAACGCCATCCAACCCAATCCAAAAGCCAACTCCATTGTCCGTTGTCCGTTGGCTGTCCGTTAGCTGTCCGTCTCTTGTCCGCCAATGTCATTAGCATCGTGATTACCTCTACATTTTTAATGCGCTTTCGTTTGTTTGCCCACATGTGCTAATTATCCTGGGATGCCCTTCATTCAAACAAATTAATGATATATTAATTATTCGACAAATAAACAAAAAGAAGTATACCTTCAAGCTGATTTAAATTAAAGTTTGACGCATTCCAAAATTAAAAACATGAGTAGGTACTTATGTCAATATTTAATTGTTTGTTAGGCTACTTGTAACAAGAGTTTTCTTTTATTTTTGTAGCTCTTCGTTATATCGAAATTTAAATTAACCTTACTTTACAGCTCAAAAGGATATAATTGTACTTTACTCTCTTTTCGGCATTTTATCATTAACGTTGTTTGAACAGATTCGGGTGCAAGGCAAATGCAGTTCTCATTAACATTCCGAATTTTCAGAACCATTTCACAGCGCATATTTAGTACAGCAGCGGAAGGGCAAACTCATTTGAACTTTGTATCAAAATAAAATATTGAATTAGGCGCACACAAATGGGCCAAATGAACTTTCGGTCTGCTGCTCTATTGGAAAAATCGGAGCATGTGCAATATTTAGTGCACTTAAAGAGCAACCATTTGCATAATGAGGGAATGATAGAAAAACTATTTTCGTACCTAAACCATGAACACAAATAGCCGTAAACAAAGTAAATGGCATTGGGATGTGGTGTTTCTGCCCGAAGAGCTGTTCAATTAATATGCGTTGGTCCATGCGGCGTATGCGTAATGCCGGAATGCCAAATAAGGTAAAATGAATTGTCCGATGGTTTCACTAACTAAGCGCATAATGCTTTGCTGTATTCAATGTTTATTTGCCCGGGCCACAAAGGGGTTTTATTGATTCCCTAGTCACGGTTTTTGGCAACCGAAAGCAATTAAACGAGCTCTAAAACATTCGCTGTTTGGCTGCGGACTAACAAATATTTTTTAAAGGTTTTCACTCATTTGTCTAGACCGACAAAGCCGTGAAAGACAGCCAGACTCACTGGCATACATATGCAAATTTGAGCCCCCATTCGAAGCGTCCTCCCATATAAATCACATAAATATTCACATTTATTTTCATTTCCAACGCTTTCCCCTATTTTTGTTTCATTCCGTTTTCGAGGTACCAAAGAGTCCTAAATTTACATATTCATTTTGCTCCACATTTCATTCTTTCCGCGTTCCCTCCCATTTTTTTTTTTTTTTTTTTTTTGTGGAAAAAGCGAGTGGTGGCACTTAAAAAGTCGTTACAAGGTGCAAAAGTTTTCTATGTCAAAATATACAGCCGAGAGAAGCAGAGACAATGACACTGAAGTACGGAAAATGGGAAATGGTTGTGGGGAAATGGGCTTTCATAGTTTCCCGCATATGTCAATAGTGCTGCAAAAAAATATGGAGGCACACACACTTTTGACCCATTTTGAATTTCAAAGGCCAGGAGATATATCAGTCATCAATTTGGATGGGCAAAAAATGATAACAAAAATTTCCATTTAATTGGCCAAAACGGAAAACTGCCACAGAAAGTTTAAAGCTTTTCCAAAAATTTCCCTTTGCCCAACACACACACAGCGCAGTTTAAGCTGAAGATGTGTGGGAAAAGTTTGGACCAAACATTTTATAACTTTTCCATGGGGCCAATATTGAGTTACCTCAGCAAAGATTTAACTTCAATCAGCACCCACACAAACAAACTCGGAAAAGTCCCTTGCAATCAATTTCAAATTTCGCCCGGTCTCATTTGCCTGGGCATAAATTACTTATAAGCCATTCATTTATTACACCTATCGGCAAACTACACAAAATTGACAGCTTAATGATTTGTTCATAACTTCGCCAATGGGTCCTTATTTATGCGAAACTTGGACGTTCGCAGAGGCTGTAAATGGTAATTAGAAAAGTTGTCTTCGTATATGTTTCACTAAGCTCTCCGGGGATTAAATCAATCCGGAAAGTTTATCGGACAAATTATATGAGAGCATGGCTGAGATTGGCTTACAGAAAATATAATTATATAAACAGTAAGGCACCAAATATACTTAACAAGTATTAAATAATTTAAAAAGGGTTTTTATACCATTTCCAAAAAAAAAAAAAAATAAATAAATAAATAGCTTTCATTGCCATGAAAGGAGTCTGTAAATCTCAATCTCAATTATCTTAATATAATTTCGGGGTTTCGCATCGAAGTCTGACATTTTAATTATAAATATTGAATAAGGCAAAGCCAATAATCCGAATGGTGGACTGTCGACGGCGACTTTCACACTTTTATTGCATTTCTAGAAGCAACATCATTTTGCCATTTCATCAATTAAATATGCTGACAGACTTCAATTATTTATTGAGAATGAACCCAAAAATGCGGGCGAGTCGAGGAGATATCTTCAGGTGTATTTATTTAAATGCCTGTATGCGAGTAGGTATATAGCTATATCGATACAATCTGAGCTGGTGTGCGTGGGCAGAAATTACTTTTCGGAAAATTATCATGCACATTGGTTGATGCCACACGCCGCACGCCACACGCCATTCACACGAACTGTCTTATGTGGAAAATTCAATTTGATGCCACTGCAGTTGTGCTGCTGCTGCTGCTGCTGTTGTTGATGTCACTCGCCCAACTCATTAAGTATTAATTGTAAATTTTAATTAAAATAAACCGAAACGATTACGGCCAGAGCCCAGGAAACGAGACCAGGCGAGATTGACTGGCAAACTCTCATGCTTCCGATGGCCAGGTAATAATGTTTACCGATTTTATACCACCGCCGCCCCTGGAGCGTCGCCCAGAATACACATTACCCATATATCCGTATGAAAAATCCCATTAATTGCTCGGCAAAAGACGAGTCCGATAAAATAATAATAAATACAATAATAAATAAACAATAATAAATAAACAAAGATGGCAACTGCAACTGCAAGTGGAAATGGGAGTGGCAACTGCAACTGCAACTGCCACTGACATCTTTCACTCGGGCCGACTTTGATCAGATGGTTAACTTATGACTTAATGTGGGCGTGGCCAATATGGGCCAGGTTTTACTATCGACCATTAAGTGATTGTTGCGGCAGGCCGATTAATTTCAAATGTGGCATCAAGACAGACAAAGACGGCTTAAAATGTTAAAGAGTTTTCAGTGAAGTGGTGCAATTCAACTGAAATCTTATAAGATTATATGACTTTTTAATTATTTAATAAATAAATATTATATAAAAAAGTATACATATACAAATAAATAAAGAAAATAAATTTTAAGTATATTTTTCTTGTTTAAGGGGACGTTCTCTTTGTTTTGGTCGAAATGAAGGCAAAGTTCGTCAATTTTTGTGGGATAATGAAAAGGCGTACGAACTTCGGGTTTTGCTTTTTGAATTCGTTTATTATTCAAGATTTTTTTAAATTTATTTGATGGTGAAATTCAAAATGGCGGCTGCAAAATGGCGGCTTTCGTCTGCCTCCGCGCGGCAAACATCGTCCCAAAATTACGAGCCTACAGCCTCTTGTAGTCAACAGAAATAGAAAATTGTTACCATTATATAAAGTTAATATACTTGTGCGAGGCACTAACCTAACGGCATCAAATTGCGGCCATAAATTGACCGCGTAATGAACGTTCGAATCTTAAAGTTCGATTTTCGTACTTTTTTCAGTTAAACCACGTTGAAAAATTATAAATAAATTATTTTTTTTTTTCGGAGTAGGTTAGTGCCCTAAAGAAAAGCATATACTTTCATAAAAATTTTACATGAAGCAAATCGGTTCACAGGATGAAGCTGTGGACGCGTAATTTTGTTGAAAAACATGGTTTCGAGAAAAACGCGTTTAAAGATAACTTTCTTGGGTATACATGGTATAAATGGGTATGTTTGACACGCTCTAGCTCAAGAAATACGCGTCGTATCGAAATATCCTTTCACACACATATTCTACGGATATGTGGCTTTCAATTTTTGCAAAAAAAAAAAAATCGATTTTTGATCCAAAACAAAGAGAACGTCCCCTTAAAAGAAATCACTCTTTAAACCCGAAATTCCTTTTCAAATTGCCTCCGATAAAAACCAGAAGCTCAGCCTTTCATCATTCCTTGGATGTGACTGAAAAATGGCCAATAAATCGTGTGTTAATAATCTACCACTGTGCACATGTGGGCGTGGCACATCCACACAATGGATTGCCTGGCAAACACGAGCGAAATGAATTGTATTTGTGCGCCATAATTTGCTTATTTTTGTTTCACGTTGTCACGTCTGAGGGCAGATTGCCACTGACCCGTAACAATTTTCGATATTTTCCCGCGCACGCAGAAATAAAAGTTAAATAAAATACAATAAGTTATTACGGCCGATTGCGTTAATGATCATTTATGGCCGGGGACATTTGCGGGCTTATGTAAATGGCGCTCCTCTCTTTCCCTGATTCCCTTTCCCCAGTTTTTTCATTCACATAACTTCCCGAAGGATGCACAGGACAAAGTGTACGGAAGGGCAAGAGATTTATGCTTAAGTGATGTAAATGTTTCGTCATTTGACAGTTTATTGACTTTTATGAGTTAGTTTATCGTCTTCTCTTTTATTGCCACAAAGGGGGGTTCATGGTTAAGAGGGGCTTTTGCGATTCAGCAGCGGATCCAGGATTTTTTGTATGAAACAAAGGAAGTTTATGTCATACAAAGGCTAAAAAAATTGACCTAAATACTTGCCAAACAATTTATCTTGTTCTAGAGAAAAAGAGTTTCCAAGAATGCCATTATTTAACCTTACAATTGAGCTATAAAAGTGCTTTGGCGGACTTGAACCCCCAAAAACTCCGCCACTGGTGCGAAGTATCCTTGTAGAGTCCTAGTAATTGGACGCGTGTTCGGCATAAACAATGAGCCAGCCATTATATTCAAGACTCTGCCGGATGTTTATGGACTGTAGGCAATATGAGATTTTCTCTAATGAATATGATAAACATTTTTATGGGAGATGGTGACAAACAAAGGTCATCAAACAATCATCAAGTAGCACGTTAAAGAAGGCAGGAAATTATTCAACAAATGGTTCGGAAGTTAAATGTAACTTAGCCATTTCAAGTAATTAAATTAAGTAAATGCGTTAGGAATTATAATGAAGGGAATCCCCATACTGTTAGCTATATTAACAGTTTTTTAAGATTCAGATAAATTTATTTAATTCGCTAAATAACACCATATCCCCACCCTTCCTAATAAACATAAAAGTCGTTTTTATACACATTCAGTTGAATTTTATTTTGTATTACTCATACGCACTGCTTACCAGCTAAACATTTGGTTTTACTTTGGGGTTTCGTTTCTCGTTTCTCATTTCATTTTTCGTTTCCACTTCAATTAAGCTAATTCAATCCATTTTTTCTATTATCGAGTTGCTCTCATTTAATTTATAATCAATAATTTGGACTTCCATTCGTTTGTAAAATTCATCAAAGTTTTCGGGTTTGTTTGGGTTTACTTGTATATCGATTTAGTTTTTAGCTTGAACAACATTTATGTAGAGTTGGGCTTTTCATATTTAACTATAAGGTAGAGTTGACAATGCATATGTACTGTATGTATTGTAAGGATTCCGCCCACTTCAAAATCGTCCGTTGATAACTTCTTGATGCTTGTTTTATCATAAAAATCGTACAAAAAATGCGTTGCGATCGATGAATGAAAATTGGCAGCAAAAATTGGCAATAGGCTAAACAGATATCGTCGTATATATAGCAAAAAGCATTTCGTTTAATAACTCCCTCCTCCAAACACTCTCGGGTTAGGTTTAAGTGAATTGCACACACAAATTTCTATCACAGAAGATACAAGAAAACAGAAAACTTAGCAGCAACAATAACGAGTTCGGGATGGGATTGCATTTGGTTTTTGGTATCTGGTATTGCCATTCGAATGGCACCAGCTCTATGACCAGGCCAAAGCGAGAATGAGTGCGTATATCGGATATAGTGGCGGATTCCAGCTGCAACCTGCCGCCGTGGTGAAGACCTTCACGCCACTCCAGTCACTCAATCCGGCGAGATTCCGGCTGGCCGCCCTCATCAGATACGTGGTGTTCGGCTCGAGGTGCGGGACTATAAAGTGGTAACCTGGGAATTGAGGAAGTGATACATATGATAAGTATAATAAATATAACAAATATAGTATCCATATATTATACATAGAAGAAATAATTAAAAAATAAACAGAAGTAAGAATTAAACAATTAATAAATATAACAAATATCGTATACATATATAATATTAGGAAGAAATAATTAAATAATAAACAGAAGGAAGAATTAAACTAATGCAACAGTTTGAATTTGGAACTGTGTGAGATCAAACAAAACTTATTGGCTATGTGGAAATCTTTATGTTGAATTTTTCAATTATTTAAATAAGTAACAATAGTTATATAGGTAGAACATATAGGTAGAACATATAGGTAGAATATATAGATACCCACCCCGGTGGACGGAGAAGTCCCTCTGCTTGGCGTAGCTCCAGTTGCCGGCGGAGAACTTGAACTCGGTGTCGCTCAGGTAGGCCACCCGGTAGCCGTAGATCTGCATCTCGGCGGAGACGTTGGTCATGCGGGGCGAGCGCAGGTCCAGCTCGAAGGCGTCGGTGTAGAGCTTCTTCAGCTGGAACCGCGTGGGTCCCCAGGGCTTGGCCCCCGGCAGCAGCCGGATGACCCGCTCCAGCATCCCCAGCGGATTGGCCACCTTGCACTTGTAGTCGCCGAACTGCGAGGCGTTCTTCACCTGCAGCTGCAGCGTGGCCCCGTAGTCGGCCACGAAGATGCGGTGATTGAAGCCCACGATGCCCTTGCCGTCGTGCAACCAGGTGAAAGACGGTGGCGGCTCCCCCATTGCATCACAGCTCAGGTTAACCGCCCCGCCCACATAGGCGTACTGCACCGGCAGAGTCTCGTTGAAGGTCCAGTAGGGTTTATCTGAAAAGGTTTGGGGAAAATATACATCCATTAGCCATAATAACATGTATTCATGTATACAGTTTTTAGATTATTTTCTGGTGATAATATTGCAGATATATGTATATGATTTCCGATGGCAATTTTCTCTAAGTGCGCTTTTTGTGACCGCATTCTGACAGCCAGAAACTTTGGCCTGGTTTTGTTGGTCTTCACACCCATTCAATCTCCCCAAAAGGTGGCAGTGGCACAAAAAAGAGAAAAGGGGCAGAAGGATATCTGTTGCACTTTGTCGTTGTCGCTGCTAAAATCCTTTACCGAAACCCAACATCCTACATTAAAAAAATTGTATCTTTGTTGGTCAGACCATTGAAATTAAGCTAAGTGTGGGAGTAGTTCATAAAATACCTTCAAGTTTTTCAAGTAAGCTCGAAAAATATGAAAGTAACCAAAGCGAAGTTGACTCCTTTGTCGCCTGCACAAAGTGAAGTGCGAAAACCGCAATAATAAAATCACAAGAACAATAGATTTCAGTTTTCCTCTCTCTTCTCGTTGCAAGGAATTTTCATTCTCCTTCAGCTGTCGTTGAAACAAAATTCCAACAAAAAAAAAAATGGTGAAAGCCTTAAGTCGAGGAATGGATGGCAAAGAAATGGAAAATACAGTATCGAAGATTGAATCGCACTTTGTTTTGAGGTCTGTTTTTGTGCTGTATTCGACTTACTTTCCATGGTGGAAAGTCTATGGAAATCTGTATATGAAAAGTCTTTAAAATATACTATTTTCTATTAGTTCTAATTTTCTGAAGAATTTTTGTTTAAGCCCATAAAAGTAAATTCCCAGTCAGTCATAACTCTTTGGCACTGTAATTGTTGGTTGGATGGAAGCCCCAGGGAGCTTCGTCCTCGTTTCTATTGGGTCGCCAGCTAATAGCACATTTTAGCATTTCGTCGTTGTCCCAGTGTCCTTGGTGTCCTGGTGTCCTAATGTCCTGGTGTCCTTGTCGCCATCGTCGCCGATGCGCTCCATTGAAGTTTATTGCTGGGGAAACGCAAACCTATAGATTGCAGCATTTGCAGCGCTTCGTGTTTCTGTTTCTCATTCTGAGTCCCTTTTCAGGGAGTTTCTGCTGGGCAGCAAATTAGTTTCGGTTTCCACTCGCCTGCTGTTTGCCTTCCAGTTGCCAGCTGCCCGACGAATTGGCTATACATGCACTCAGAACAAAATCTGGGATTTTGTAGGGAATCCCTAACATATATGTACAATAAATCTGCTTTAAACCTTTACCACTTCACCAAGCTACCTACTTTAATAACATCTAAAAGAACTTCAAAAATATATTGATAGATCTGATTTCGCTCAGTGCATTAGATTTGACTTGTGCAAATATTCGAGCGGCAGTCATTAGTAAAATTTTGACGGCAACTCAATTCGAAGGGGAGGCGATTGGGGAAAGCTGGAGGGAGGGAATCATCTGGGTCCTGGATGAAGTTGAGCTTCTGCATATTTGGCTTGCCAGGCTTTGGGTTGTTTATGAAGCCATATGTTCCAATATCGATGAGGGATTTGGTTCCCCGGCAGTGTCACCAGTGCACATGACTTCCAGGAGATCGTTTTTTCGGTTGGCAAATGCCAGAAATTATTGGTTTGTAATAAACTAAGGTTTCTTCATGGGAAGAAATGATCTGTTCTGTCGATGTATTGTTTTTGGAGTTATGAAAACGTAGGTTCAAGGAAAAGTGTAAGAAATATATAAAGTTTTATATAAATAAACTTTGCGTTTGAGATTTTTGAATTTTTATGTTTCCTAAACAGATTTTGGGGCTAATAAGATTGCGATCCCCTGGGGGAAACCTAGGTATCCAATTTCCTGCGGAATTCGGACTCCTCTTGATTTCGAGCTCTTCGCCAGCAAATCGTAGGTCGGGTATATGTTCATTAGGAAATTTGCATCAATAATTTGCATTTCCCAGCCACTTGACCCTGACATCCGGAAGGAATTCCCTTCTTAGAGCTGCGGGGATAACTTCAATCGTGAATTCCCAGCTCGGAGCTGGAAATCTCATTAAAGCCAACGAAGCGTGCTCACTTCCCAGGGGGAAAAACTGAAAACTGAAGGGGCTTAAGCGACTTTAGGTTGCCATCAGCAAAAGATTTTGTTGCACAGTCGCCTCTCGCAGTTCCCCGGGAAAACGGGGACCAACTAAAAAGGGGAGCGGCAGCCAAATGCAATTGCCAACAAGTGGGGTGCAAAATAAATTCAAGATTAAATATTATCGAGGGCGGCACGTCCTGTGTGGGAGTGTCCTGCAGAGGAGGGATTAAGATGGGTGGCATACCACTCCACCAGCAGTGGGACAGTGACACTTACGTTGTATCCTTAGCAATATCGTTATTTGATCGGTATCCGAAAAAGTCGGTGTTATACGTATCGCCCGACAAGTGTACTCCCCGGCATCCGCCTGGCTCACATTCCTGATGTACAGACCGTTGGACAGGCGATTGTGCTTCGTCGAGTTTACAGCTGCAAACAAAGATGAGGGGATAGGGGGGGTTATAGGGGGTGTATTGGTCAGAATCGGAGGAGAACTTAGTTGCATGGCTAACAAGTTTGCCATGCCAGCGGCACAAAGTGCACGCTGAAAATTAAACTAAATAAATCTCGGCTGCAAGCCTTTGGTTGTCAGTTTACAATTAAAAATAAAAAGGGTTTCGTGATTTAGTTTGCACACATATCATACGTATATATGTGCAGATTTTTCTATTAAGTTGGATAAAGCAAAGATTTAAGCTTGTCTTTAATACTGAAGCACTCCAAACAGATTCAAATTTAAATTGAATACTTTTAACATGGCAAAAGCAAATGGAATTAAGTGATATATGTTCTAGTTTTTTTATGTATTCCTTAAGTTTTTCTTAGAGTGTTTACTTACTGTTTATATATTCGCCATTGTAGTGCCAGGAGACTTCCGGCTCGGGCATTCCCTCCACAAAGCAATTGACCAGCGCATCGCGTCCCTCGCGCACCGATTGCACCTCCTCCGTCTTGCCAAATGAGATTTTCTCTGCGGGTCCGGTCGAATGGGAATGGGAAAATGAAGGGGAAAAGGGGGTTCCTTGTTCAAATTCCGTGTGTAAATATGCAGTCATGATAGCCCCCCATCCCCTTTCCCTTTCTCTATCTATATTCACTGTGTGTGGGAGTATCTATCTAGCTAGCCAGCTTCTTTGCTGGCTCTGTTTACTTGGTCTCTCTTTGATTGGTAAGTTGACAGATTGTGTGCAAGTTCATCGAGTTACTTTAAATGTGGCTGCAAAGCAGTCATTCTGATTTGTAAACACATTAAATGATTTGTCAAGCGGAAATTGCTTCTCAGTTTTGCGCAAAAAGTGGTCGAGAGGATTGTGGCCAGTGGTTAAATTGCAAATGAAGAAGAATTGACCTTTCTTGCAAGAGAAAATTGCAAAGCCAACAGGAAAAGTTGAACTTCACAAGCAAGATAGGAAACTACCATTCTTTCCTCTTTAAAGTAGTAGTGATTTAAAATATTTCAGTGACATAATACGTTTAACACCCTAACAATTATCTACTCTTAAATAAGGTTCCAAATAATCACCGCTTAGTAATGCGATTTTATTTTTATAGTTAGCAAAAGATTGAAGATTTTTTATTCTTAGTTAAGGCAAGTAAACAGATTCAACTGCAGAGTTTACGACCTCGTCTTTTATGTTTTTTGTGCTCTGGAAACTGAAGTCAACTTACGATTTACGAGCAGCTCGAAGGAGGCCAAAAATTCACGTTCAACATTTACATTCCGATTCCCATTTCTATTCCCGTTCACCTCGCAAGTCCAGTTGCCTCTGTCCTCCAGTGAGATGTGCTCGAAAACCAAAGCCAACAGACCTAAAATAAGAAACAAATGCAGAAAGAAAATCCTTTTATGCATGTGAGAGAAATATAAGTTTCTTATTGCAAAATTGTTTCCTAAAACGATTAAGTTTCGTTTTCAATCAAGTTACTTCTATGCTAGTTTCGAATTAAGTCGTATATTATTTATGTTCATCCTAGTTCTAAGTTTACTTGATAATTCTCTCTGGCTTTTTATTTTCAGAATGATTTAATAGGCACGCCATTATTCATAGCCAGGTCGCTCGCAACTTTCATTCTCTTTGTGTAAAGTGCAGGGAAATACTTTCGCAGGGCAGCCAGTGACTTTATCCACTCGGCCGGGTCATTACTTCACCACTTACCCGCCGTCTTCTTCTCGATGTGGACGCGTCCCTTGGTGTTCTCACGGGTCTGTCCGCGGGGATCGCGCCACTTGGTGTCGATATCCTTTTGTACTGTCTGGCAGACGATGATGAAGGACTCATTTACAAAATGCGTTATTGATGGCGTCGACGGCTGCAGGCTGAGTGGGGGCGTGGCCGGACTGGTGGGGGGCGGTGAGAGAATGCCACTCCCCCCGATTCTGCTGTCCAGCTGGCCAAGGATTGCAGCTGCAAAGGGCGGAAAACGAACACTTTTTGCATTAAATTTATCACTTCTGCGAGGGGCTAAGGCGCGGTCTTTGCAGCTCATAAAAATAATCATAATTTATATAGACAGTTTCCCATTTTGGCTTTGGAATTTAACCCAGATTTTTTTTCATTTACCCCGCTTGCATTTAATTAGCTTTGCTGCCAGCAGCCAGTGAATGAATGTATCTGTATATAGACATTTTGATTTCTTATGAAATATTCAAGGCATCAAATTAGCCCAACTCCTTTGAATCCCGTCCTCCTTTTTTTTTTTTTTTTGCATTTCCCCCGTTTGTGCTTCAGTTTTAATAGAAATTCTTATCTTACAATTTCATTTCATTAATAGCAAATAGTAGCAAGGAAAGGGTCAGGGAAAAATAAGGAAAGCATAAGGGCTTCCAAGGTATTTAATAATAAAACGGGCTAAGACAGCTATGACAGCTGATGTATACTTATACTTATACTTTACGTTTATTTAAAGCTGTTTACCTTTACCAAGGAAATAAGTTCAATTTAAAGATCAGGCATGCATGTTCTTAATAAGCATTTTCGCAATTATACACATGAGCCCAAACATTTCTCTATGATTTCATCAACATTCCCAAAGCGACAAATTCCTTAATTCCCTGACATGCGATCCACTTTTTTTTACCTTTATTGCCAAACCCAGCAACCAAAACCTTTTTTTCCTTCCTCAAAACACGTTGCTTAGCCAGCTTAAATTTCAAACAAGCAATTCGAAGCCCTTTGAACGGACAAAATTAAAAATAAATATCAAAAACTATTTGCAAACTAGATAGGAACTTGCTTTAAAATATTGTGTTTGTCGACACTTTATTTAAGGATTTTGCTCATGGATGGCCAAAATAATTATTGGTAATTGAATCTACCGGCACCATGTGAACGTAGAAAGGAATTCGATTCGAAATTTTATCTGCAGAGAGATGTTTGTTTAGCTGACGCTTTTGAACACGTTTTCAGCACTGATGTCAAAATGAAAATCCGAACATTTTAATAATCATTTTGGGTGAACTCATGCAATTTTTAATATTCATACGAAAAGAAATGCTCATGTTGTATTTTACTCGAAAACCTTTTATCAATATAAATGTTAAGCCTAATCAATTATGTCCAGCATTCCAAAGAGGCAACTAACGAACTTAAGCCAATCGAATTGAAAAATTTCATCTATTACCAATTTGCGCTTTTCCATCTCAATCAATATGCCGCCTCCCCTTGCCTTTTCAAATACTTAGCCTAGAGAGCATCAAATCCATCAAATTGAATTTAATAATATTTCATTTGATAGGTGGGATGCGAGTGTGTGGCAAATGTTGAAGTAAATCCAATAAAAATTCAAATTCGTCTTTTTGAGTTCGTAAGCAATACACAAGCACACACATAAATGGAGGTACAATTTCTGCAATTGGATTGTTAGGGCTCGGCTCCTTGGTGAGCTGCATATCAATCATGTTTGGGAAGGGTGAAAGTAAAGGGTAAGTGGAATCAAGACATTGTAAACTGTATTGTGAGGCAGAAGAAGTTACGAGTGCATACTTAAAAAATAATAACGTATTAAATGTACTTTATAGAAGCTTTACAATAATTGGTTTTGGTATTCAATATAACAAATTTGATCTCTAGGAAAATGTAAGGCATGCAAAAGTTGTAAGCACATATTTTATGATTTTCCTTTGGCCTTATATGCTGTGCAGCATCTAGACATATTTTCCAGCCTATTTAGTTCTCTCCATGACACACTTTAAAGCTTGTCAAATGGCTTGAGTTGGGCACATCCTTTTTTTGCCCCTCTTCTGCTCTTGCTTTGCCGTAATGAATTCCTTCGCATGATTCCCAAGAAGCGTTTCATCTTCGAGAGCCTCATGGCCATGGGCTAATTTGGGTGAAGGTTCCTCCGACACTGACAAAAGGCTTACACATGGCTTGGCATCACTTACTCGTCTTAGGTGTCTGTGCATCTTCCTTTGGCGCCCAACGATTTCCATTGCATACTTTTAGGCCGAAAGCGCAATGGGCGTATGTGTAATATTTCCATGCCACATTGCGTAGCCGCAAAAGATAAAAAATGAATGTGTTTGGTCAGAGGCGGGAGAAGTTTTGAAAAGAAAGAAACTTTGCCTAAAGAAATGGTTCCCTTTGAGGGGTTAATTCCGGCACATTTGAAAGAAGATTTTCAGGCAGCCAGAAAGAAGCAAATATTTGTCTTAGCTCAATGAACACAAGAAAAGGCAAAGTGTTGAAAAAGGGCGGCAAAAATATTCAGGAGCCTCAAGAGCAGAACGGATAAAATATATATTTAAGGTATTTCAAAACAAAAAATATAAACTCTTTCTCTTAGGTTTTAAAACACTCTAAACTTTTATTCAAATAAACTTTTTAATAAGTAAATGCAAACATTTTCTTTATATTTCTGAAACCCATCAATCTTTCTCAAACTCTTATCCTAAATCAAAACTGTTTTGTCCTCCTTTCAGAGCTTTTTAAACATTCAACTCATTAAAAAATGCTAGAAGAGATCCGCAAACACAGTTGCACAAGCTCGCATAAATGCGCAAACAAAGAGTGGCAAAAGTTGAGCCAAAACAAATGAACTCATTTGGCATTCAGCTATGAATTTCATTATTATGAAAACAAAGAGAGTGGGAAAACAGAGTAGCAGTTGAAACAAATATATTTCTGTTCCGAGCGATTGTACTTAGCGCAGGATGAATGAAATCCTGGCTGGATCTAAGCTTATCCTACCGTTTTGTGAGAAAAGCAGCAGCAGCAGGGAACAGAGTCCAAAGAGAGTATCCATGGCTCAGCGAGAGTATCCTTTATCCTTTATTTGGCTATAATCCTTAATGGTTAATTTCACTAATTCTCTATATTTGCAGTGAGTTTTTTTTGCACGTTTCCTTCTTGCCGGGTAACTTTTGTAGTCAATTACGAGGCTGTTCACTTGAGGGATAATGGCACATGACTAAGCCGCTCATGTGTCAGCCGTGGCCAGAAAAGCCAGAAAAGCGGCAACAACACTTTCACTTTTGGCCAGGACAATGGCGTGACATCATCATCATCCAGCTCAGGGCCAGCATTTTGCTTTATTCCTTTTTTGGCTATTGCGTTGTGGGTTCTAAGCCTGCCTCTGCTTAAGCACTAGCACTCGGGGAAGCACTCGGAAGGAGGAAGCCGCCGGGAGGAGGTGGGAGGGGCCCACGTAGTTTGACATATCCGGCAAACATGTCCTGCCAACGGATTCGACACGCGAATTCGCCACGTTCAATTCTCGCGCTCTACTACTTGGCTGACTTCCGAAGTCGCCGCTTGGGAATCCAATGATCCATTGCAGGCCAACGCCGAGATTCGACTGAAACTGCACCGCAGGACACTCGGCATCCGCGGCGGATGCTCCACGAAGTGCGAGTGCGATTGCGATTGCGATTACGATTGCGAGTGGGAGTACGAAGTCCTCGGAAAGACTTCACCAAAGCACGAGTCCTTCGATTATTGCAACCGCGCTCACGTTCGATCCGTTGCGGAATCAGAAAGTACACTGAAGTCATGGCTCGTCCTTCTGCATCCTTTTAGTGCCAGGAAGTCTGGCCGAGCAGGGAAACTCCTTCTATTAGGCACCTCGCAATGTTGACACACTTTTCGTCGGCACTTCAATTCGGCAACTTTTTTATAAGCATTTGTTTCTAAACATCTCCAGTTCGAAATGTTGAGGGAGCTTTTCCGCAGGGGTAAGGATTCTCAGGGTGAAAAGCTTTGCGAGAGCTTTTGCATAACAGGATATGCAAAAGTTGTCTGAACATTTGCCATAAAGAATAAGCTTGGAGTTGATAAATTATGGGGGTTTCTGTCGCTCTTGGCAGTGTGTAATAAAATGAGCTGTTAAAAATATTATTTTTGCCTATAACATCTGCCATAAAACCAAGTTTCAGGTACAGTTTATAAATATTACAACATTCTTTACAATTTCTAGAGCAAATTTGTGGAAAAGCTATCGATTCCTTTTTATTGAAAAGCATCAAAAAAACATTCGACTTCGAAAAGTTGCACTACCAAACTATTTATTTTAATATATATTTCAAAATCCACATAAAATTAAAAAACTAGTTCATTGTGCAAATATCGAAAAGCTTTATTCAGTGAATCCGGGTGTGCATAATCAGCCGTAGTAGACGTACGGAGAGGCGTAGCCCACGGCCGGATAGCCGGCGGAGTAGACGAACTGGGGCACCGGGGCGGGATTGGGGTTGGGGCCCGGAGCGGGAAGAGCCACGGCAACGGCCAGGAAGGCGGCCAACAAGAGCAATACCTGTGCAGAGCAGAACAGAGCAGGGCATTCGTTTAGCGATTACAGGATCAAAGGCGGAAGTCCTCGGGCAAAATCAACACTCACCAGCTTCAGCATGATGATGAAAGGTTTAATTCTCGACTTGACAAACAAAATCGAACTGCACTCGATGTTTGCTCGACTGCAGCCTTTTATATTCACAAACATTGTCGATTTCAGGCGGATCTAAGCCGCTTTGCCTCATCGCTGACTGCATCACCTCTTGATATTCCATATGCATGCCAACCAAGCCGACCAAGTTTATGGCTCATTACGGCTCTTAACGCGTTCGCCTAATGCCTGCCAAATGTACTGAGCACAAAGAACGTTATTGTTTCTTAATCTGTTTGCCTGACGACATCATCATCATCGGTAGGTGTATCCCTCTTCCGCCCACAATCCACTTTCCCTACTATGTATATAGTATATTCCCTCCCCCAAAACCGCAAAATGTGTGTCGTTCCTTTTGTCAACTCACTCTCCTTGCGTTAACTCTTTTTTATGCCGGCTTTTGGTTTCGTTTTGGCCGGGGGCAAACATTTGCCTTTATTGTCAATTCGATCGAATCCAGAGTTTCAAAATACATGATTTAGCAATTTTTATGGGATACACTTGCAACCGGAATAGAAGTCGATGAGATAAGAGGATTTGTTCTGGACAAAAAGATGAAAAGCAGCGCTAAAGTGTTTACTTTTTCAGTAATTTTAATTTAAGCTAAATGTAAGGAAAATGTCGTCGTTACGTAAAAGTGTTTGAATATTAATAGTTTTGAATTTTAAAACGCTTTTTTATTTTCGATTTAATAACAAGTAAAAACAACTCAATATTTCGATCATTTTTATGCGCAATTTATTACTAATTATTAATTATACGCTCGAACAATTGTCATCTTGATAGGGAGCACTTCAAACACAATCTCATTCGGTACACCCGACAAGGTCCAAGAATCATTAATCAAGCGAATGATAGCCAAAAGTTTGGGACCACAAATTCCCAATTAAAATGCAATGAGCGTACTTAGAAATATTCTCCAGACTCAGAATGAAATCACGTTCAAGGCCAGTCTATATCCAACCGATTCCATCATCAAAGATCGACGGAGAATAAGAAGTCATTAGAATGCAAAGGAAATTTTTGTCTTGGCTTGACAAAAACTATCGCAGTAAAAATAGAAAACGAAACTAATGCCGAAAGATATGAGCAAAACAGAAATGGCCATAAATCCGATCAGAGCCCAGAAGTGCGACATCATAAATAAGTCATGAGTGCGAATTTTGGCCGACTGGCGGAGGACTATATAAGACCGGCGACAGGTGGAGAACGGCATCAAATCACAAATTGCAATCGCTACAGAAGCATCTCAAGTCCTTTAGGAAAAACCAAAACAAGCAAAATGTTCAAGCTGGTGAGTACTAATAACTAATATGATAATAGATTCGCAGGATATCGTTTTGATCTTATCAAAAATTAAACTTAGAGTTCTCGCTTAATTTATTGTTACCAAATTTACTTGTCTTTTCAGCTGGTTGTCGTCTTCGCTGCTCTCTTCGCCGTCGCTCTGGCTGTTCCCGCTCCAGTCCCCCGTGCCAATCCCGCTCCAATTCCGATTGCCAGCCCCGAGCCCGCCCCCCAGTTCTACTACGGAGCCAGCCCATACGCCTACTCCGGCGGATACTACGCTTCCCCATACTCCTACTACGGCTAAGTGCTAAGGACAAGTATAACCAACCAACGACTCGTGATAATGCATTCGAAAACGGATTACGGACTATGCGCGTGCTGGCAATTCAAATTAGTCATAAGTGCTTGAAAAATCGCAAAAAAAAAATTACAAAAGTTGAGCAAATAAAATATTGAAAAGCAAAGTAGTATGGATTTTTAGTTACCATCAACGTGGGATTATTACTTTCACCGACTTAAAAAAAAACTCAGCATCAAGGGCCAGTGAAAAATCTCAACTGGTTTGGACGGCTGAAATACAAGCGGTTCCATGGTGTAATGGTTAGCACTCAGGACTCTGAATCCTGCGATCCGAGTTCAAATCTCGGTGGAACCTGAGTGAAGAATTTATTTTTACAAATCTCTTTTGCTATTTATTACATTTTCTTTTAGAATTAATTTTAAAATTTTAACTTTTTAACATACAAATTGTTCAACTATAATTAATTTTCTAACAAAATATCATAAGTAATATTATAAGCTATGAAATAATAGTAAATTTAAGAAATATTGAATTAACATCGTCTTTTTGACTTCAATATATAAATTGATTAAAAACAAATTAAGTTATTGGTTGAATAGGAAAATAGTATAAACAAAGTGCGAAATCAGCAAATAATTGTAGGCTGAATAATGTTAATGGGTTTTGTCATTCGTCTGTCAAGCGGTTCCATGGTGTAATGGTTAGCACTCAGGACTCTGAATCCTGCGATCCGAGTTCAAATCTCGGTGGAACCTGAGAGTGAATTATTTTGTTTTTTTTTTTTTTTTACTGACATAAACTTATATTGAATATATATAACTTTTGTTAGTATATACTTAAACATTTTAACAATTACTGTTTGACTTACTTAAATAGAAATAACAAGCCATTCGCTTGGTAGTAATATCTGCTTTGTGGTAAGTGTCCCCGCTGAACAAAAACCAGGGCTGCAAGAACATCGATGCATCGAACAATTTCAAAACAACTATCTGTTGTGGAGCGATGTTTTTGCAGCTCTAGCAGCAAAAAACGAAGAAGAAGAGCAACAGTGCATTTATTTTAGCTCTTGCTGCATTTTTGCAAAACTGCGCTTTTTCTGCACAAAATTATTCAGCGAAAGTAATTTAATACCCCGCGGAATAATGCTAGCCTTGTTTATCGCGTGTGGCTATGGATAGTGCTAGTTTTGCGTATTGTTTTCGTTCATATTCGTAGCGCCAAAACAAAAACTCTGGACTGCTGCTAGAAAGAGACGGTTGCGCATCTAATCGGGATCTATTATGTTGAAACGCTCGTTAAAGGTCTTAATTGCACTGGTGCTGAGTTTAATGTTCACCGTTTCGCTGGTGAAGATAGTGCTATTGATTTGGTCCTCGCATCCCACCGCCCCCCACAGTCCCCCGCCCCTCCCTACCGTCGACGAATGGCTGGATTCGGAGAACCTATCGTCCTATAAGCAGTTATTTCGCGATAAAGGTATGTCAGCAATCAATTGTTGTGTTGCCAAATCCATTGACAAATGTCATTGCATTGCGGCTTATCGTAGGTTTAATGTCGTCGCTCTCGCTTTTGTTTATATTTTTAATTTGTTGTGTGTGCTGGTGGGGGCCCTCTTCCCATCTCTTTTCTTCCCGCCCAGCGAAACTTTCGGTACTTTGTTGACGAATTGAGCTTTAAAAGCTTTCTTAACACACGTGCTCCGATAAAAACTTGTTGTTTGGGGTGGAGAGCATTTACACAGAATGCAATTGGGTTATGATGACAAAAAAAAATTATTTCTTAAGAAAAAAATTGTTTCAATTAGGTTCCACCGAGATTTGAACTCGGATCGCAGGATTCAGAGTCCTGAGTGCTAACCATTACACCATGGAACCGCGCTGAGCGATCGTTTTTCTGAACAAAACAACCAGCTCAGGTGGGAAGATGTTAAAAAACTTTATATTTCGTAATTCTTAATAATAAATATAAACTTTTTGAAACAATAAATTAAAAAAAAATAAAATAAAAAATTTGTAGTCTAGGTTCTACCGAGATTTGAACTCGGATCGCAGGATTCAGAGTCCTGAGTGCTAACCATTACACCATAGAACCTCTATGAGAGATGGAGCCCCAGTAGGAGTTTTCTAATGAATCTAGCCAACTCATTTACCAAAGATCATAGTATAAGAGAAAGTGGCTTACAGAAATCTTCTATTTATAGAAATTTTGTCTTATTAATGTTTTTTGTTGATTGGCAGAATGCCAAGTGATAATTAAAACTATTCTGTTGCTAGGGCCAACTTGATCAACTGGTCTTTGAACTCAAGGCGTCTGAATTGTTTAACCCTCTAAAGTTTAAATCAGTGTTTAACAAAAAAATTTTATGACAACCAAATAACTTTTTGAACAAGCAATCAGAAAACGGGTCAACTCAAGCTTAAAATGCAATTTGGGAAAAAAAATGTTTTTGCTTAATTTTTGCTTTCGGATGTTTGTTTCATAATAGTGTAATCAGCTAATTGGACACATCGTGCCGTGTCTAATGATAATGTAATTTTAATAAAGCGCGCCAAACAAAAAACAACCTGCTAGATTTATCAAGAGTTTGGGATTAAAAGGAGGGGCCCAGGTTGCAGCAAAAGCTCTACTTTCCGAAACGAGTCCTCGTGATTTTTCGGCCCCTTTCGCAGGACACGAGCGTTTTCTGTGTCACTCGGGTTCGGTTTTCGGAGTACGGCTTTCGGTATAAAATCAATCGTAAATGTCCTTAAATGCTCAGTTTTGGTTTTACTTTGAGACGCGTTGGTTTCACATTCCCGAAAGCCTGGGATTCCGCCGCGTTTTTCCCCGTTTTTCTTTGGTACAACAACAAAAAATACCATAAAAACAAAAACAGATAAACCAATAACGAGCCCAATAAATATGGCCGAAAAACGCCAAAAGTTTTGATTTGTTGTGTTATATCGCGTTTAGTTTTTGCTCATATTTTACCTCACATTTCCTTTTTTCCACGCAAAAGTTGTCAAAACATTTCGTGACGACGAGGACAATACATCCACGAAAAAGAGCCCTAACCTAAATAAGTCAGCACGTGTTGTTTGAAGCCCCTCCCGCAGAATTCGCTCCATTGAGACACCCACTCAAAGCTAATGATCCATAGCTAATCTGTACTAATACGCAATGGGCCCAAAATTAATGCTTGCAGAAAGCAAATTTCGCGCCGAACAATTTTCCACATTTTGGCATATTAATTTTTTATTGTTGGCCTAAACGGGGAGTGAATTTTCCCCATTCGCTTTACACTTCAGTGCGCAGCTATTTTATAGGTCTCCAACCTCCGCCAGGACTTTCCTCCGTTGTGTTTTCGGCTCGTGTGTTCCATTATCCTATCCAAATAAACTGACTGACTCATCTTCAGTTTATTCAATGTGTGTGCACAGCAAATTGTTTTGCAATTAAGTTTTTAACAAATATTTGGAAATGATAATAGTTTATTTCTAATGACATAATAAGAATTAGTTTTTATAACCGTTTCAGTGGTTTTCATAGCGGAATTTTGAAAATTGGGATTTAATTTAAAGTTTGTTACTATAGAATATAGGATGATACAATTACAAACCAAACCGTGTTGTTAAAAATATGTATATGTTTTCATCAACTTTTTTTAAGAGTGTGACTTCTTAATTCTGCATGATTTTTGTTACTTTTACTGTCGCTGGTTGTGGTTGTCTCCTTTTTTTGGCTCGGTCAGATTGGTCCGCTCATAAATAATTAATTGGCAATTAATTTTGATGACACTCGACCCGCCCACTTCTCTCCATTTCGCACTTGACCATGTCCATGTCCACTCGAATTCTTGTTGTCGCACCTACCATTTTCCACCTCACCGCACTTTTCCACGTCTACACACGCGCTTAACCTTTAAATCGCATTTACTTTTGACCTGCATATTAATTAATGATTTAACAGCACGAAAGGAAAAAGGGTCTTGTGCGGTCAATTATGCATAAAGTGGCATTTGGGGAATGATTTGTATAATGTATGTATGCGCCAACATTTTGGGACAGGTCAGGAAAAAGTTGTCCAACGAGTTCTTACATAATGCTTCAGAATGTGATACAAAAAACTTGGCAAAGAATTAATATACATTTAGTTATGTTATGTAAATTCGGGAAAGCAAGAATATTCTAAAAATATTAGTTTAAAAAAATAAAAAAGGCAACTTTCTCAGGTTCCACCGAGATTTGAACTCGGATCGCAGGATTCAGAGTCCTGAGTGCTAACCATTACACCATGGAACCGCGGTGATCGTCTGCCGTCAAATCTCTCACTTCGATTTTTGTTGCCGAAAATAAAGCCCCAAAAAGAAAGACAAAGAAAGTTGATAGGGCCAAGATCGGCAAAAAAAAAAAGATGAAAAACAATGTAAAGCAAACATTTGCATATTTCCATAAAACTGAAATGCGAGTCGAACCAAATTGGTCTGCCCAATCAAACAGGAAAGAAGGAAGGAAAAGGCAAGAAAGTAGAGAGTCGGAAGCATTTAGTTTGTGCGACAAAAGGGGAAATAATTGTTTGGTAAACATTGACCAATGTCCGTCGGAGGCAGAGAAAGCAAACAAAATATTTCCATTTCTTCGTTTGCCGGCCGAAAACCTTTTTCGGCTTCTTTTTTCATTCCGGCCTGCAAGGAAATTAAAAGGAAATTGCGCTTGTTTTGTCGGCAAAAGGAGGAGGTAGTTGGGTGGTAGGGGTTGTGGAGTATGCGGCTGAGCAAATTAAAAGGTTTTTATACCCCAACTGAGAGCCTGCAGAGACTCGCAAGCAGTTAAAAATGACACAAGTGCCAAGAGACGGAACCCAACGAAAAAAAACTCCAAGAAATACAACAAAGACACTAAAACAGCAACAAAAACACCAAGGAAGCAACACAAATCGTGAGGCAGACAAGAACAACAAGGACTACACATGTGCAAATAACAAGAGGCCTCATTGTGGGTCCTTCCCTCTCGCTCGCACTTACATTCCGTTCACTTTCTCCTCGCCCTCTCTCCTCATTCATATTTCTCCCTCTCTTTCTCTGGGTGCCGTAACAGTTGCAACTGTTTTTGTTATGTAGGCCAAAGATGTCAGAGCGGAAACCCGCCTCCTGTCTTTTGGCATCCCTCTCGCACACACACGATCTACAGTAAAACGTGCATTAACCAAATAAGAACGACACACAAGTTCCATTCGTTCTTTAATTAAAGTTTTTGTTGCATGCATTTTTAAATTAGTATTGAGAAACTTATCTTTTGCTTGTAATGTTTACCTACATTAATGATCATTTTAAATTTTTATCACTGAGGAAATTAAATTGATTTTACAATTCTGCGTTATGTTTATGGAGTTTTGCCTGTACCTATCTATTATGTGTTTCCTCAGCGCTGGCGGCGCTCTTCTGCGGTTAGTTATCATTATTGCCATGGCCCTCGACAGCATTTTGTGGCATATCCTTGTTGTAGCTTTTGTTTTTGTCGCATTTGTCAGCCACAATTATAATAATGCAGCAGCCAAGTTTCCCAGCATCTCGTTTGGGCTTTAGCCGTCTCCATCTTTGCGAAATTATCATATTGTTGGTGGCTTTTGTTGTGTCCTTGAATGAACAAACAAAGCGTGTGGGGAAAAACAAGAAACATTTGCGCATTTCAACGCAAAAGATTATTTTCAACTTGCATAACAACGACGGGAAAGAGCAAAACAAAAAATGAGCAGGCCAAAGGGAATGAAAAACAGTTTAGAACTAAGTTTATGAGAACAGAATTTCTTATTTTGGACACCCTGGAAAAAATGAAAGTCTAGATGGTAACATCTTAAAAATTCTGAAAAAAATATCAAGCTGGGAACAAATAACACATTGTTCAATAAATTTTAATCACAATTTACTTTTGTGCATAACATTTTATAAGTACAATTTTTATTGCCTAGTTTTGGGCAGAAACATTTTCTTGGATAGATTTTTACCTCGCATTTCCGCGGTACAAAAACTTTGCCGCAGTCTCTTAATCTTGCGCATTTCCCCCGTAGCCTTAGTCGTTTTCCATCTACGACTTCCCTCGCCTCAACCCTAGACCCGAAAATCCTCGGCCCCTTTTCCGCTGAACTCGGCATTAACATAAAGTACGCATTTCGACCCGGCTTTCCACTAAAGAAATTTGTAGTCATAAAAGTTTCAGTATCATGCCTATATTTAGCTTTACTGGTATCTTCGACCTGAGAACTCAAGAACCCCCTGACTTATGACAAGTTATGGTTAGCGTAGGCCTGACTTGTCCTTTTTTGTTGCTTGCCTCGTCTATTTTTTACTTGCTTTTTGGGGAACTCGTAAAACAACAAAATATGGCATGAGCCAACATTTACTTTACACGCAAGACAAAAGGCGGAAAAGGAAGGGGAAATAGAAAATGAAGGGCAGATTGGACATGCACTAAGGATAAAAAACTAAACTTCATACGAAG